TCCTGTTTGTTAACCAATGAAGGCTTTGCTTCTTGCTCGAGAAAAGAATAGCGTGGGTCCCCGACTGGGTTTGAACCCACGCAGCTATCTTCAGAGATGACGCATCGAACATGCCGCCACAACTGTTTCTTGTTCTGGCTGAACCCAGGAGTGCACTGTATTCTCTGCTAAGAGCTATACCTGTAAATAACTACCATTTGTTATTTATTTATTTATTTATTTATTTATTTACAAATGAAAGAGGGACTGATAACAAAACAGATACGGATGTGGGACGGGGAATTAATGTATTACCAAATTACTAGTAAACCTGTTCCTCGTGTTTACATAGTTAAGTGCTATAAATAGACCAGCCAGATGGCTTATCAGAATGTTTACATCGTATCTCCTTCATACATGTATTCGTATTACTTCGGGTTCGTGGAAATCAAGTAAGTTTTGTTCTTCTTTTTTGCCATGATGAAATTAAAGAATTCTTTGTAATTGTAAACTTTCAGTGAAACCTTTTTTCTTCCTGCATCTTCTTCATGTTCTGATATAGTAACCAGCGTTTATTTTGATTGTCACTTCGTAGTCTACACTTAAAAGCATTAAGAAATTATGTGAAGATGCTAGCATGCTTTCCATTTGTATGACCCAGATTCGCAGAGTCAAGCGTCTTAAGAATTTGTAGGGAAGTGCTAAAAAGTTATAAAACTAGGACGTTTTATTAAAAACATAATTATACAGTATACAAAATGAAACATTATTGGTCCCCTTCACGTGTACGTGCTATTTAATTGGAACGTATAACGTTCCTGGTACTAGCTAGGTATATAAATAAGAAAACCTCAATAATTTAAACATATATTTTTTTTATATAATATCGATTATAAACAATAAAACATAACATTTTTAAATACATTGTATGTCTTAAAATATCCCGGATATGTTTACAGATGCAAGATATGATGTCTCGGGGTGAGAATGATAACTTAATTATTGTACAAATGTACTTGCGGTACGGTAAGACATAATTGAGCCGTGTCATGACAAAACCGACATAATGGGTTAATTTGCGACCAGCATGGATCCAGACCAGCCTTCGCATCCGCGCAGTCTGATCAGAATCTATGCTGTTCGCTATGAGTTTCTCTTCTTGTAATACGGTTTGTAAGCGAACATCATGGATCCTGATCAAACTGCGCGGATGCGCAGGCTGGTCTGGATCCATGCTGGTCGCAAACCCATTATGTTATTTTTGTCATGACACGGCTTATATTATTTCAGCTTGGTTTTATTATATAAGCGTCGCGCAAATTTTATAGGAATCGAACCATCAACTCCTAGGTTTGTAGACCAAACGCTTTAACTATAAAACGTGCATTGCAAGTCGGGTGGTCGTTTGAATTATCTGCCCCTGACACTACTCATAATCAAGAGAGGGTGGTTGCTATAGATCAATCTGACATCGACGTCGCTGACAGATGTGTTAATATTGTTCTATGCTTGCGTCATTATAGCGCCCCCTGCAGGGTGAATTTGACAGTTCTCTTAATTAATGACTAATTTACAACTACTTGTCACATTATTTAAATTATCTCCCTTAACTGAAAGGAAGCTGATGCGTTTTCTATGGATTAATTAAAACTTGCGTCTGTTGGAGATATTTGGACACAATGGTATAACTTTCAAAATTTCTGCTTTTATTACTAAAACTGTTGTAGACACACGTTATTATTCACAATGCGGATGTTCATAAAATAGCATTTCTAACTGAAACCGTTCACACGTTTATAGAATGCTCTTTATGAGTAATGTAATTTTTTTAAAAACATTGAAGACGATAGCTTCAAAAGCAAGATAATGTGGATGTTGATAGAAGTTGATAGAATAACATAAAACAGAAGGCTGCAGTTAAATCGGGCATTTGTTAGCCTATTGGTGTGGCTTTTTGCCATTTTACTATGAATTTACTAAGAGGCCTTTTGTGGGCGGACTTTTGTCAATATATTAATCAATCTTTGTACGAAATTTTGTAAATTGTATACGTAATTTTGTAGTCTTTCCATTTTTTTTTTGAATATCAAAATGTGTGTAGTCATTTATACTCATGTACAAGAAAAACTGTCAGTCTTTTAAATAGAGGCCTTTATAAAAGGTAACTATCAGGTTCACAGGTATATAATGAATTGTGTAAGATACATGACACCTCTGTGTTGTCTATAAGGTCAGTATTTAGATGTCAGAAAGCCTTATTAAAAGATGGTAAAACTGACTTAAAAGCTGCCTTCCACCGTTCCTGTCAGCCCACTAAACTAATGTTGCTGATGTTTAATTCTAATTAAACAAGATATCAGACTTGCATTGCAAAACCTTATTGATAATGTTGGTATATCATCGGGGTCAGTTTATAAGAATATAACTTAGAAGTTAAAACTAAAAAAACCTTTGTGCTCGATATGTCCTGGACCTCTTGACGGAAGAACAGGCGGTCACCTGTGTAAAAACTGCCAAATACCCTTTTTTAAAGTACAAAAAATGTAGAATTTCAAAACTGCTTTGAGGTGATGAACTTGAGTGTATTGTTTTGCGCCCCAAAGCCCCAAAGACATGTGACTAATAAGCAGTGGTTACGCAAAGACAAAGATATACCACCATCTGATCTCCTCGGCTATAATAAAGCGACATATTGGAACTGCTTCGGTCACGTGGTTCCGTTATTGTGTTTGCGTCATTTTTAAAATTTCAAAAATACTTTAACTTTTCCATCAATGTGACTCGGGTCATGTCTCATGTTTTACGATTGTATAACGAACGAATAAAAACCGCGGCAAAAGTTTTGTATGCCATGTGTTCATATTCTGATGGACCCTTTGTTTAAATTTCAGTTTCAAATGGACAAAATAACAATGTTCTGTCAAAAGTGTAAAATGAATTACTGCCCTCCTTTGCCTAATTCGTGACAATGTAGCTGCACACGAGGGTGTGCTGGTTCAGGAGTCCAAAGAAAAGGAAAAAGTGGCATAAGATCCCCACCCCACTTATTCTCCGGACCTTTGTCCCTATGATTTTTTTTCTTGTTTCCCTTATTAAAGATACATGTAACTCTACCTTGATGCCGATTTGCTTTTAAATGTGCGTTAGGTAGTGCAATTTTCCAGTGTCTATAGGGTGTGTCCAAAGACGCGTACTTTTCTGTCTTCACAGAGTTGATTTTAATGCTAGTAAATTGAATTTCTGCTAGGCTACTTCACGCCTCAAAAATCACTATGACAAATTGAAATATCCACCCCTCGTACACGTAGTCTTCATCTTTGTTTTGGATATAAAGAATGGCGATTTACCACTTTTCAAACGTTTCAGATCTGTTTGACGGTTTGTTTTTATTATGAATTATGTTTATATACGTTAAGCATATCTCGGTGGATTACTATGCTAGGTCATATTATTAAGTAGACCTTCTACTACTACTTATGTATAAGCTGATTGGAAGGTCAGCATTGGACGTCTTAATTAGTGCTGAAACTTGTATAAAGAGGAATGTATATAATTATACAACATGGTTTGTCTGAAATATGGATTTATAAAGATTAAACGGGTTAGTTTTAGCTTGAGAAATCCAGCTGTTTTATTTTATCCCATTGAACGCTCGTTAGGTAACCACTTAAAAGAAAAAAATCCACGCCGGGACACCATGCTAACATTTTTAATCATTTATGCTTCTTTTCCCTTTTTCTTCTTTTTTTCTCTCATTGAATCATCACTGTTCAGTAATTAATCAACGGAAACCAGTACAACAGTTACTGGCTCGACATCAATTCTTCTTAGAGAACCTCGTGCATGTTTACGTCGGATATCGGTTCGAAAGACTATCAATTATCATATAGGCGAAATGCAGGGGTGATAGGTCGTGGAATCGAATATACCTTCCGTACATTTGAATATATGACATTTGCCCACAGTCTTTACGCTACTCAGTTTAACAATTTTCATTTATATTGCAGTATTAAACACTACCATCAACAAGACCATTGCGCAAATCTGGTATGGTCTGGGACTAAAAATGTCACATGGTAAAACTGAATGTGATACCCCGATGTCAAGATCAAAATACAAAAACGTCACTTTGACATATTAGAATGTAATCACTCTCGCACAATTTTGTGTTAACAATACTATTGTCATTATGCGGTTTGCCAGCGGTCAAACATTTAAGAAACTGACCACTTGTCTGACCAGTCACCCGTTTAAGACTTTAATGTATGACTTGAAAAAATGTAAAACGAAGCTACGCGATTCTAAATTATTTTGACCCGCCTGGTTAGTAAATTTAATGTATACTAGCATTTATATCGAGTTATTTGAAGATAAATACGGGTTCTTTTTTTCTTTTTTTTTACTCAAACAGTGCAGTACAAGTTATTTTTAAAATTTATTTCCCATGAAAATTTGATATTTTGTGGCACATGTAGGCAGTGTGTAAATAATGCCTGTGATAAGGACTTATATATAATCTAACAGTAAATACATATAAAACTGATGTAGATATGATTATTTATATCATCATCGTATCTGTTATTCGTTTTCTAATATTTTTCTTTTCTCAACTACTAGAAGATAACATTTTTGTCTTGATCAACTGTCAACATTAACCATTCATTGATTAATGTACTATTTAAGCTTCCGAAATGTTCAGTATAATTTGTTTGTCATGAATAATATTGATTTAAAAAGAATAAAAAATTGAATAACTACGAAAAGCAAATTTTGTGTCAACATGCCATTCACCTTTTAACAACAGACACAGGAGAATGTGTTTTCCAACCTTATACAAAGTATTAATTATTGATTATGAAGTCCATTAACAGAGCACTGCACTTTTTATAGAAGTGATCAATAATTAGTATAATGAATGAATATAAAAATAGTTTATTAATTTGTCAGCGAACATTGATGCATTACTGTTAATTAATCGAGAGTGTTTCATAACATACGGTGAAGATTGTTTCATATTAGATATTTACCTCTTTCAGTAAAATACCGTTTTATTAAACAATGTTGTCCGTCGGTCAGATCGTGTAGCTTGGTACAGTCTGCTTACAAGTCAGTAAAAATCTGCACGGTCAAGGCAACCGTGTGCTTTCAATAGCGTAGTAATCCGAAGTATGAACTCAAATTTAAATACTAAGAATAAAAGTGGGAACTAGGAAACTTATGAATTATTGAAGGTATTTCGATATTTGTTTATAATATAGATGTACTTTGCATGCTTTACGAATAAAAATGTTAAAGAAATGAAACATGTCTGGGAATGTTATATCAACATGCATGATGCTACAATTGTGTTTAATTAATGTATCCACTTTACAATTTTAATGTTTTCTTTTGTAATCATTATGTTGTTACTTGCGATTGTAAATAATCAGAACAATTTTTCTTTCGTGGAAAGCTGTGCATGTGTGTTTTATTTGTGTGTGTGTGTTTTGTTGTTGTTCTTGTTTAATGTTTTAGTCATTGATTTAGAGCACGCAAGATGCTTATCATGCAAAGAACGCAGTGACGAATGTAAAATAAGTTGTCATTAAAGTATAAAAAACATGAACTAGGTGTTATTTTGCTTTCCATACAAGATAGTATTACAGATATTATGTAGTATTATAATATGTCGTCTGTTTAAGTCTGCGTAAAATTTTCTATTCTTTTTCTCTCTTTTAAAGTACAAGGGAATGTATAAAATATTTTAACTTATATTAGATGTTTGTCCTATACATATATGCATTGAAAAAAATAAAATTCGCCATTTTAATAGTGATTTTATCATAAGTGTAAAATGAAAGCAGGAAAAGAACAGAACAATCATCGAGAAATATATATGATTGCTGTTGAGTACATAAGATCTTATTTTGCAACAGTCAAATGAATTTCTTGAAGATGTATTGTATTTATCTACTTTGCGGCGTATGACGTAACATCATAAACGTACTTAAATTGTTACGTTATATTATTATTATTATTTTCTTTTCTTTTTAACAGATGGATTTAACGAAACGGAAAATATTTCTTCTGCTGTTAGGCGCATCTGGTGTGACTCTTATAGTCTTGGCGAACTTGTTTGAGTTTGGTTCAACCCACGAAGTCTTTCTGGTGGCTGCAAATTTCCACAACAGTTCATTGTCATACCTCACGTCTTTAAACTTGAATCTCGGTATTCTTCCAGACAATAATAAGAGAAATAGAGGTTCGTTAGTAAGCAAGGGATTCAGGAGTAATTTAGATGAATTAGTAAGAAATCCAAAGTTTAACATAACGGATGTTACATTACGTTACAGGAAAAAGCATACTAAAAGTTTATCGCGTGATGACGCTGCTATTAATAGATCTAACAACGGAATTGAAATTGATACAGTGACTAAAGTTTCTAGCAGTGATAGTATTGATGACTGGGATTTAAGTAAATCTCGCGTTAATAACGATAGTCCTACTAATTATGACTCGGATAATAGTGTCAATGTTGGTGAAATGACTAGAGTAACAAACAGTGCTATACATAATCAGGTGTCAGTGAACTTTCGTCCAGATTATTCCTATATAGAAACAAGAAGAACTAATGATATCAAAACAAAACCTGTGTCTGCAAATTCACAGAGCCAAAATGCATTAAACAATGACCATAACTCCAATAGTAATCAGCAATTATTAAAACAATATCTTTCAAAATTGACTCATGAAACGGAAATATCAAACCGGGCGAAGAATGGTTTGGAAAAGGGTTTCCTGTATAGAAATAGATCGGTTTATGGGAACAAACCGCCGAAAGAAGTAAAACAATTTAGTGTTGGTATTGAAAATGTCAAAGACAAAAATGATAATGAGTTGATTAACGAAGATGTTCTAATACCACCTAAAGACAACCGTGAAATCAACGTGATTAATAACTTACCAAAGCGAAAAGAGAGCGTAAAAGATAACGATAAAGTTGATGAAGAAGCCCTTAAACCATTATCTAACCAGAATACAAGTGAGTCAAACAAAATCTTTCAGACGATATCACAGAGAAACGAAGTTGATAGAACTGAAAACACTCAAAATCGCCAAGTAAACACAGGTGACATTCCGCCTGAAATTTTACAAAAATATATGAAAAATAATGAACAAATAGCAAACGATGACGATTTTGAATTACTTGAAACAAAAGCGTCCGAGGATAACAAACGTGATAGAAATTTCAACGGAAATGGAAGATATCTTAATGGCGGTATTCTTCAAGACAATAACAATATTCAGCCCCAAAATATTCAAGAAGCAATGGGTAATAATGTGTTTCATCAGACGATGGATATTCCAGACAGTGGGCAAATGGAAAGTCATGCTGATCATGGCATTCCAGACAATTATAGGCGACTTGAAAGTCAGACTGATCAAGACAAAGATGTATTAGCTGTAGAAGGGTTTTCTCTAGATACCAGCTGTTCAAGGGGGTTTAGTTCGTTTGAGGATATACTTTGTATGGTAAGTTTGATAAAATATTCTGAAACTGTTAAATATAGAGGTTTTTATGGAATTGTACTACATGCTTTCGCCACTTTATAAATATTTATAGTAATTTTGCTTAATCTTAATACGTTTGAGGTTTTCCATATCTTAGAATGGCCATTTTTATGCTCGTACCAATGGGACTTCGAGGAAAAATGTAACCGCTTCAAATCAGAGATAAACGGACCAATTAGAGGTTTATGATTATGTCGTTGTTTTTTCTATGCAGCGTATTCTTATACAGATAATGACGATTAAATTTGCAGATCACAAGCATGCACATTGCATAGTCTTAAGAATAAAAAACACTGAAGCGTATGTCTAGAAGATATTCATTTAGAAACATGTGCTTTATCAATGAGGCGAATTCTGTACTTGAAAAAATAAATATGGTGTCATTCCTTTTTCAGAAGCGACCACAGTTCTTACCGGACTTCCGGAATCCTTGCTGGTACCAGCATGGAATTTTAAGATGTCTGCCTTATTTCCATATCATTGGCGTATGTAAAACGGGAACCACAGATCTATTCGAACGCCTTTCTCATCATCCTCAGATTTTGAAAAACCGTGGAATTCTGGGTAAAGAAACGTGGTATTGGACTTGGAGACGCTATGGACATAGTAAACATTCTTTTTACAATTATTATATAAGTCATTTATTCATATGTTATAAAAGTTTAACTTGTACTCTTATTCATGTTAATATGTAAAGCGTGAAAGAGTAACAAACATTTATTATCCATTTTGTGTTACGAGTTATTAAAAATACTTAACACTTAGAACTACAAGGAGAATAGTTTCTGCCTTAGGGAAGTGAAAGAAGTTCAAGTATTTGCCTTTATTTAAAAAACCGACACATATGTACATATTATTTGATGACAATAAATGCAGGCGATAGAAATTTTGAATTTAAAGGTGTTAAGGTTTAGGTAGACCAAACATAGGGGAGGTAAATCGAGTTACATTTTGGGACGTTTCCACGAGTACATGTATTTCTTACAAGATTTTTAAAAAGTATTAGATAATTATATAAAGCATGAGCAAATATCTTTGTCATTTAGTCATATAAAAGTTCGATATACACAATTTTTCACTTTGGCAAGAAGAATACAATGTAGTCGAAAAGACAAAGTCACACTGCGTTGTGGCGTTTTATTATTTCGACATCATCGCTCTGTCAACCCGGCAAAATATGCATGGCTCTGACCAGACACCATACAAATCTTTTTTTTTTTTCGACACAACAGGTAATTTCTACAGGTCATATGCAGAGATGATGACATTGAACGATTTTATTGACCAGTTTGAAGCTCCTGCTATAGAGAGTTACACGAAGAGACTGCCTAATGGAACACTATATCATCCGGCTGTTACAGGTATGCCTCTATATTGTTTACGTCACGTGACAAAATTACGTACATCCAAACCACTTAAAGGGCTGTTGAAAAGAAAACAACGTCATTTTTGTGGTTTGGTAACAAAGAAAAATGATTTTTATTATTTAGATCATTTTAGGGATAAAGCATTGAAGCTTTAGTGCCACTGGGTCAAACTCATGAATGTACGGACACATATAAAGTTTGTGTTTGTCCATCCTCGGTAATCTAGGCGCACTCCTTACGAGTACACTTCAAACAGTCAGTGTTGCCAACGGAATTAATACCCGTGGGTTCCGAGGATAGTGTCAAATTTTTCGACATTTTGTTTTTTAGATTCACTACATGAAATCTCTACATAATCTCAATCATTCACCATACATTTATGAAGTGCATTTTATCAGTATTCGTCAGATATCTATTGAAAATATTAATATTTAAGGAAATGCATTTTAATATCTCTACGATTTTTCAATAACCACAAACCATACATTATATAACAGATTTTAGACGCATTGATAAACTAAAATTTACAATTGTTAATTAAAGCTGTGTAGAGTCTGGGACGACCGCTTTTAAGGAAAAATCATATTTAAATATAATTTGTATTGTCTCAAATCAGTAAATCAGAAACATTTAAGACATTTTTTATTATTTTGCATAGATGTCATCACGTCGGTATAATTTGCACTTGTAACGTTTTCTATTAAAAAAAGTTTGCCGTATTGGACGTTCTTTAGGGTTTTTTTTTTCGTCTTTACTTTATCCTGCTTTGAATAAGGAAAGGTACATTTTCAATTTCATGGACTCCATACTTACATGATAGGCAATTTACTATCGGTGATTGCATTGCAAGGGAAGATATTATAAAAGCCAACTTTGTATATATGTTATTATGAGACATGCATATTATCATGAGACATAGAAATGTTTGACGAATACCCCGACTTTCATGTTATTATATAACATTATATGAGGGGTAAAAATGTGACAAATCACAGACCCCCTACTTTATAATTGTAATGGGTGCCCTGCAGGTCAATATTTACATTTGACACATGTTTTACTAATGAGTATATTAGATAAGGTGATGGTAACAACATTTGTGACTTGTGTGTTTTCGAACATAAGTTTGACATACATGTACGCCTCGAGCGCTATAGTAATCATATAAAGATGTTATACTTATCTGGTACATCAGCTTAACGTACCAATTAAGTTAAAGGCACATCATACCTGGGAATGAATACATATACAAATTGGTTTTAGAATGTTGTAATAATTGATTGAGAGCATGCGAGACGCTTATCACCTGCATTGATAGAGTAGCACTGGAAGTCAAATTTGTTATAAATGTAGCAAAATGTAAATAAAATATTATGTTCGCTTCCATTCACTTTAACTGTACTCGCTGCCAAATTTCTATTGAAGCAAATGATGACTCAGCTATATGGCAAATTAATACTCTTTTTGAAACTGAAAAAGTGTGACACATATATGTTAAAAAACTCTTGAAAATAGAAATGAAAACATTTTTGCGGGCTGATGGGTCTTTAATAAAAATTTCGGCCATGTCTGAATAAATCGATGTTGTATTTTTCTACATTATTCACAACGTTTCAACATTTATTTCATGTCATAGCCCGTCAGCAGTTTATTTCAGTTAAAAGTTATTTCACACGAAACCAAATTCCATTAATAACACTTGTTTTTTCAGGACATGGAGACCCTATGGACTTCTGGGATCAGTCGTCATGGAAACGGATACCACAGAATGACTTTACTGCTGATATTCCAAGACTGACCACGCCCAGTTTAATAAAGCACGTGAATCCAAACATAAGACTAATTTTGATCTTAAGAGATCCAATAGAGAGGTAAGATATATAAGTAGAATAAGCAAAGTTAAATGTTAAGAGTCCCATCCCTATTCCACAACAGGTTAAAATTTGTCTTATTAAACAGCTAAAATAGTATGTATTTATCATAAGTCAAATGAAATGTTATATATACATGTTTCATTTTGTTTTTGGATATTTCGGGTGAAAATCTTGGCGCATATTATGTAAAATAATCAAAACATATGTTTCTTTCACCCGAAACCGTTTTTTTGTATCCATCAGATGCTATAAAATATATTCTGCGGAAATCAACAACAACCAGTATCGATAAAGTTACAACAGACTGTAATAATAATATACTAAATGTAAATGATCCATATTTATGTTTTTGATTTTCATTAAGGAAGGGACTGCAATACTTTTCCAGGAGTCAGCATTTATGTGAATGTTTTCAATCGTGCAATTTCAATTTGGCACCGTGTTTGTATTTTGTTGATCACATGTAGTACGCTTATAAACGTCTGTTTATCTTATTTAATTTGTTACATGCAAATTGTTGAAATGATATATTGTGATTTAGTGTCTGGCTTCAACCCTGTTACACGTTTATAAAGAGCAACAACTCTGTAATTGGGAAGCTGAAACTGTCGGTATACATTACATCCCCTGATTAGTATAATTATATACATGATGTAAATTCATACATGTACGAGCTGTAAATTCGTATCATACATGTACGAGCGTTAGCAGTTACACTACACCTGTCAATTCGAGCTTACTTCTTAGAAACCATTCTGACATTTATTTTCAGATTATTCAGTAACTATTTGCACGGGCAATTTGGATCTACGGCGGATGAATTTCACCGTGATGTGGTATTATCTCGTGCCTTATTGAAGGCATGCACGGCAAACCGGAGCATGAAGTCATGTTTGTATGATGAAAACATCATCAGATCTTTAAGAGTAAGTAATTCTAATTATTATATTTGTACACATTATCTTCGCTTGTAAATTCTTTGACTTTTTAAACGTTCCCCCAGTAATTTTCAATGCAAGAAGCATACAGTAAAATGTTTATTTAGCATATCAATGTTAACGATTTATCTTGGCTGAACGAACATTATCCCGGTATTTCGCTTTAATTCCAAAATGAAATAATGGATAGTTAAATATGCATAAATATTGTCATATCGGAAGTAAAACATTTTCATTTTAATTAATTATATTTTATAGGTACCAATTTCCGGAAGTTTTTACTCCGTTCATATCAAGGAATGGTTGAAAGTGTTTCCAAGAAAACAAATATTTATCACCAGAACTGAAGCATTTGCTAAAAGCATCGCAAACACATTGCTTGGAATTTTTAGATTTCTTCGTCTAGGTTTGTTTATTTACGATATTTCTTGTTTAAAATGATATTTTCAATTTGTTCCAATGGTACATCATCAGTTACAATGATATTATCAGTCATATGTTGTAGTTTTGATATGAATTTCTTGCAAACAATAGCTGAGGCTTATTATGCATAAAAAAGACACACAGAGCTTGTGAGGTTTTGTTAGGACGATGTTGCTTATTTGTTGATTGGAAGCTTACTGGAGTCAATAAAGAAATATCATATCAGTAATGAGTCTTAGGCTTTTAATTATCGTTCTTACCTTATATCGTTGACTTGAAGCTTTCTTATCCTTTTATTTCGGTTTTCCTGCTTAAATTCATTACGAAAAAAAGAGAAAAAAATGAACATATAAATTAATGATGCGGATAGACGTCAGAGTTACACATTCCATTATATTTTGCTAACGTTTTTCTTTTCTATTTTTAGACCCATTGCCAACGAGAGATTTATACCGTATTGCCAACATGCCACATTTCTATAACACAAAAGCCAAAGAAACATCCGGTTCTATACGACCAGAGACAATAGATATTCTAAGAGTAATGTTTGAACCATATAATATAGAATTAGCCGGCATCTTAAACGATGAAAATTTTAATTTTAATAATGTCAGCTGAACTTCAGGTTTTGACGTCACGATATCAATTGAAGACCAGTCAAAAACTGAATTGGAATCGTACTCCGATTATTCACTCCACAGTGTTACAGAAAAGACCAAAAAGTCATATGCTGTGATAAATTTGACAGGTATTGAAAACTACATATAGAAAACTACATAAACACAATTTGATGCTACAATTTTGTATGAGCTTAAATACTGTATGTAGATATAGATTGAAAAAAATCTGCAGGAAAACCTCGGTGTATAGGTGTATACGATGATTTAGACGGAAGTGCAACTTACTAATTGAGGAAACGCAGACAATACTCGGGTGTTCATGTGACATTTATTTGCTAATGCTAATGTTTCGTTCAATATTTGAATAATATACATATGCCATGAGGAGATCTAATGTTATGTACAATAAACATGTGATCACTCACCCCTATATCTTAAAGCGAGTAAACGTTTGTATTATTTAGCCCCATGCTGCCAAAGTATATTATGTCTTCATACATCGTCTTATTGATATTCTGTTACGAGATTTATCATTTTATTTGTGAACATTATAGCTATGCTATATTTTGCATCTTTGCATGCATATTTTTACAGCAATATTTACATTTATATTTTTATAAGAAAAATAAAGAAAAATGCTAAACCATACATTTTGTGTTGTTAATATCACATTGTATAAATGGTTGACAGGCTTGTGTAGACGGACAAGTGACATGTAGATATATTCGTTTGTCTAAAGACATGAACAGTTAAATTTCTACCTTTCTGTTGGAGGAAGACCTTAGGTTGCCGTCTGAATATTACATGTACTTCAATTACGAGCAGTCACCTGAGTAGAACCATTAACCTATGTAAAAGAGCGAGCTAGATAGATTCGTCGCATGGAGATTCTAAATCCATATCAGCGGAGGACAACTGATTTAAAATAATTTGCCTTTACCACTCAGCCGTGTAGTTTTCCTAACTGGAAGAGAGTGATATTTGTAATGGCTTGAAAATGAGAGACGTCTATTAGTTTTTGTTTCTTTTTTACGTGATTGAAATCGGAATACTAACTTTTATAAAGAAAAGATTAAGTTTATTACTTATGGTGTATCACATTATCTTTTTGCTGCTAACCACTGACTACTCAAATGATGTTTTATAAACGCGTTTCAATGCACGTGCTTGTGGTAAAATGAACAGCTTTTATGCTTTTTATGCTTAAGTATAACTTTACACACCACTGGTCTCTATCTCATTAAGGAAAGCAACACGATTTTCATCAACAGAAACTTTGATTTCATTGTTTCTAGTATTTACTAGTCTATACTCGTAGGTCTTTCAACATATTTAAATTATTAAAGATATTAAGACACATAAATGATTGGTCAAAAGTAATAATTATGGCCCCAAATAATTAAGTAATGATATCGAGGGGATAACCTTCCAGTCCTATTCCCTCGTGTATTAAGACTTATCAAAATATGTACATTTGAAAAACAATCCGTCTTATTTATGTACAATTAAAGAAATTTAAAACATTTTTCGAGTGGTCGGATTTTTTTTTGTCCTTTCCGCCATAACTGTGGACATGGAATTCTATTTAAAGGACCTTGCTCTCAGTTTTAACTACTATTTTTTTCTTATTCAAGAACGAACAATTTTGGAGTTCAGTCTTAAGATGATAACTGTGTGAATTGTTACAATACATGTAACTACATAGCTACTAGAGCTAAATTACCCAATCCCATTGCTACATGTACAATTAAAATCCCGCTTAATATATGGTTGAAATAAACAAATCAACGAAATTTCTAGATGTTCTATCATTGTTTATTGGTGTATATAATACAAAAATATTTTTTTCCTCTCTTATGGTTTAGATTTCTCTGAATTTCAACACATAAAAGTTATTTCCATCAGTAAACGAAAACACTGCTGTTAATTCAATTATGCTTTAAAAAGTCATAGCGAAAAGTAATAATTGAGCCGTGTCATGACAAAACCAACATAATGGGTTCGCTATCAGTCTCTCTACTTGTAATAGAGTTGGTAAGCGAACAGCATGGATCCTGATCAGACTGCGCTGATGCGCAGGCTGGTCTGGATCCATGCTGGTCGCAAACGCACTATGTTGGTTTTGTCGTGACACGGCTCATGAATATGTTTTCAGCTACGACCCCTAAGAAGAAACTGCACCAGTATATATACAACGTATAGCAAATACCTTATTTGAAAAACTTTAAAGAAGTTCAAAGAAGTTCACTTACTACACAGTTTCAGTCTTTTAGCAAGAGTCGTGGTCCTGGTTGTTTTTTTTTTTCTATACGGTACAGTACGGTACAACGGCTATTATTCTTCTTTACAAACACTCCAAGAATATCATGACTTACCTCCCTTTTATAATGTACGCCATTTGCACGTGGAAGAGATCCTGAGTGAAAGGTTACGCAAGTTTAAAGGAAAAACAACCGTGTAATCGGTAAATTTATAATATATTGACATTCATGTTTTGTAGGTATATCATAATATCTTCAGGAGCTATATTGACACGCTCCTAGCATAAATGCTAACAGACAAAGTCACAGTTTATAAGAATATGTATATTATAGACAGTCCATACATCCCCCCCCCCCCCCCCTCCACCTTAGTGCCCATACAACACAACTTATCTGAGATAAATGAAAAGTATATACTCGAACACGCCGTCTTGTTAAAATCTCATTCTTGCAAAATAACGGTGATGATCGGACATTTTGTTGAAAACGAAAGTACAAAACCTAAAACTTACTGTTCTGCTTTTAAGTTTAAAATTATCATTTATGCAAGTTATTTAAGATTGTATATAAGGTAGAAGAAGAATGTTAACATTTTTCTAGTAAAGAAGCCTCTATTGTTACAGAACTCGACATTGTTTTTGTTCCACAGCATGTCCTAGTAATTTAATTAAAGCTCTATATTACGACATTATGGCCACTAGGTGACCTTTTCGTGGTATAGGAATATGTAAGAGAACTTTTTTTTCAAAATCCCTTTTTCTTTTGGTTATCACAGAATAGTTGTTTTGGGGGAGGGGGTTTTATAGGCACTAAAGGGGATGTATGGGCACCAATAATCGGTATATTGTTCCAAATGTCAATTTTCATGGAAACCATATTGAGACAGGGAACCAGATTTTACTGATTCATCTTCTTTACTTATAGTACAGGGAACAGGAGTGTACTAATTTTTGATTCCAAAAAAATTGGGAAGTGAACCAAAATAACCTCAGTTGAAGAGCAGGCAAACTTATCACCCATAATTTTGCTTTACTTCCAGTAAAAGTTTTAAAACAAACATCACTTTTGAAGATAATAGTGCAAGCAGGCCCTTGGTGCACTAGCATTTATTATATAGACAAAATAATTTACACCAAAAAATAATTATAAAGAGACTAGGGATTTTCTACATTCCTCACCCTTTTATGTTTTGTGACAAGGGCATAATTTTTAACCTGGAACAAAGTGTGAATTTATTTCCTACTTCAAACAAAATCACACTGCAATCACATTACATCAATTACTTTCCCTGCTTATTGCAAGAGAATACCCTTGTATTCTTCATTTTTTAAATAATTTCAAATTATAATTTATAACCGGAGATGTCCCGGGCATCGATTTGATTCCCGGAAAAAAAAATCATGATATTTTGGCAAAATTTTTCATAAATTTTCTTAAATCAAATCTCGCACCTTTCACCTCTCGATCGTAAAAGAACATATTCTGACCCTGGTACACATAATACACAGGAACGTTGACACAAGTTTACAATATACAGCCCCCCCAATTATCGACTGTCGTCGATTCCCCTCTGCAATAGCTTTCTTCATGCATCGGCAATTAACATTCTCTGTTGAATTCGGCAGCGTTTAATAGTCGGGTTAATTAATGGTTTACGGCCCTTAACAATTATCGTTAATCCCCGGTAATCATTAATTTTTAGATCAATCGCTAACTTGCCGAAAGTCTAATTATTACAAACAATGTAAATATATCTATCAAATAAAAAATTAAAGGTGTCAAATAAATCACCTTGCTGTGTTTGTTTTTATGACTGGAAGAATTGCATTACGTGACATGTAGTAATTATCACAACTTTAAGATATAACGGGTGAACATCATTCACCGGGTTTATAACTTACAACTTACTTGCTTTTAGGGAATGATAAATGAAATAAAGAAATACTATAAAATGATAAATATGTCGACCTAAAAGACCACTTATAAAACTAGTAAGTTACCTGTTTATCATTAAAATTCAGGAGAAAGTCGTCCTAATTTAATAACGTTATTAAGCGACTCACACCCCCCCCCCCCCCCCCCCCTTTTTTCCACAACTGCCTAGACATCCATTATTGCCGCGATGAAAAGTGTCCCGGAAAGCTGTCCAAAAATTATGGCATGTATGTTTATAATATTTATTATTATACACTGTTATTATTGTACAAAATGTTACGTATCACAAAAGAGTCCAAAATGCTATTACACAAGTTTATATCCTCACACACTGCCTGTAAACATAATTTCATGTGAATGAAGGTTTGTTGAATAATAAAGTTATTTATGACAGTTCACTACTGTTATAATTGAATTTTTTTTGAATTTAACACATGATAATTAAGAACCTACAACTGAGTCAACCATTTTTCAGGTCAAATGACTTTAATATGACAATCCTTAATGGTCTTTGTAAATGCTTAACCAATTTGTTTGTTTTTTCATCTATGGAAATGTCAGTGCTAAATGATTTTTCACTTTATATAACAGAGGCTTATAAAAGGCCTCTTCCCAATTGAAGTTTTCTTAAAAATCATGCAGTTTTCCCCAAAAAGTCTGAATTTACACCAGCTTTTTTTCTTCCAAAATTTGCAATTAATGAATTTCTTGCATTTTTTTGACTTGTAAATGACCCAGAACTTGAAAGTCCAATTATTGTAATAAATACCAGTGTTTTTTGCTCTAATTGGCTTTAACTGTGTAAGTGCTTAATAGACTGTCTTCATACTTGGGTTTAATTGATTATGACATTGACCTTAATTTGACATCAACACTTTCTGCAATAAAAAAAAGATTATTTATTTATTGATTTGATGTATATTTAGGCAAAATAACACTTACCGGTATAACAAACATATCTGTAAAGTAATTCAGATATGACCATGACGTTTATATGACCTTGACTGTCAAGGTCAAATATTGAATTTAGCTAATAGATTGCCATAACTTTGTGATTAATTTAGGGATTTGATTTATACATGGACAAAAGAACCCTTATGACAAAACAGACATGTTGAATTATTCCGATATGACTTCGACCTTCATGGTCAAATAAATGAAATTTGCTTAAATCTTTATATTTTTTTTATTAGCTCACCTGTCACAAAGTGACAGGGTGAGCTTTTGTGATCGCTTTTCGTCTGGCGTCCGGCCATCGTCCGTAAACTTTTACTTTAAATGACATCTCCTAATAAACCACTTGGCCAATTTCATCCAAACTTCACAGGAATGTTCCTTTGGTGGTGACCTTTAAAAAGTGTTCAAAGAATTTAATTCCATGCAGAACTCTGGTTGCCATGGCAACCGAAAGATAAAACTTTAGATATCTTCTTTTAAAATAATCAAAGAGCTAGAGCTTAGATATTTGGCATGAAACATCTGCTAGTGAGTATCTACCAAATTTGTTAAATAAAAGCCCTGGGGTCAAAATTGGCCCTGCCCCAGGGGGTCATTGATTTTCCCTATATGCATATAGTGAAACCTTAAAAAATCTTCTTTTAAGGAACCCAAAGAGCTAGAGCTTAGATATTTAGCATGAAACATTTTCTAATGGGTGTCTACCAAGTTTATTCAAATAAAAGCCCTGGGGTCAAAATTGGCCCCGCCCCAGGGGGTCATTGATTTTCCCTATATGCATATGGTAAAAACTTAAAAAATCTTCTTTTAAAGAACCCAAAGAGCTACAGCTTAGCTATCAAGCCTGAAACATCTTCTATCATCTAGTGGGTGTCTACCAAGTTTGTTCAAATAAAAGCCCTGGGGTCAAAATTGGCCCCGCCCCAGTGGGTCATTGTTTTTCCCTTTATGTATATATTATGTATATAGTTAAAACTTAAAAATCTTTGTTTAAAAAACCTTAACAGCTAGAGCTAAGATATTAAGCATGAAACATCTTCTAATGGGTGTCTACCATTTTTGTTCAAATAAGGGCCCTGGTGTTAAAATTGGCCCCGTCCCGGGATCATTGATTTTCCTTATATGTTATTATAGTAAAAACATAAAAAATCTTCTGTTTAAAAACCCAAAGAGTTAGAGTTTAGATATTAAGCATGAATTATCTTCTAGTGAGTGTCTACCAAGTTTGTTCAAATTAAAGCCCTGGGGACAAAATTGGCCCGTGCATATAGTGAAACCTTAAAAATCTTCTTTTAAGGAACCCAAAGAGCTAGAGCTAAGATATTTAGCATGAAACATCTTCTAATGGGTGTCTACCAAGTTTGTTCAAATAAAAGCCCTTGGGTCAAAATTGGCTCCGCCTCTGGGGGTCATTGATTTTCCCTATATGTGTATAGTAAAAACTTAAAAAATCTTCTTAGAGCTAGAGCTTAGATATTTATCATGAAACATCTTCATATGGGTGTCTACCAAGTTTGTTCAAATAAAAGCCCCTAGGTTAAAATTGGCCCTGCCCTGGGGGCCTATATATACAGGTGAGCGATTTCAGGGTCATCATGGCCCTCTTGTTTATTTACAGATTTGATTTATGCTTGGACAAAAGAACACATATGATGAAACCAACATTTTGAAATATTCTGATATGACCTTGTTCTGAAATTGACATGTACTGTCAAAGTCAAATTATTAGAATTTACTTAAGTTGTTAAAACTTTGTTACTTCTTTATGGATTTGGTGCACCCTCGGACAAAATAACACTTATGACAAAACTGACAATGATGATTAATTCAAATGTGACTTTGACCTAGGAATGACCTTGACTGTCAATGTCAAGTATGAACTTCAAATTATGATTTGTTCAAGACTGATATATTTTCTAGGAGTATTCTTTAGGACAATATTTTTTCTTCAATATGTTTGTACCTAAAGAGTAAGAAAAAGTCGAGTGTGCTCCCTGCCAAGCTGTGGCTCTTGTTTTCATTTTACCCTCTGGAGACATGTTGCTTTAATACTGCATGTAACATATCTAATAATAAATATTTCCATCTTTCAAACATTTCAACTAGGAGAGGGGAATGGGTAGGAATGTCCGATGATACATTTTAAGACTAAAGGGGGTGAAATATTCTTGGAAGCAAATGTCCATGATACCACTTTAATCTCAAATAAACAATTATGTTCTACTATGATGATATATTTTATGAATTCAATGATTTTATTGTTCTTGCAGAGCTGATGGATATACTTGTAGATGAGTCGGAAATGAAAGACATGATAACAGAAGCTGGTGAGGCTTTTCTATATCATGATGTTCAAGAAGAACTTATACACTTACAGAATGACATTCATGATGGAAATGATGGGTCTGAAGGTGGTAAGACTTATAATGATGTGGATGTTGGACCTGATGGAGATAAAGGTGAAGATGATGAAGACGATGATAATGATAATAATTGTCTGGTTATCGATGAAGACCGTGATTCAGAAAGTGATAGGACTCAAAATCAAAGAATATTACACAACAGCAACTTCATGCATTTCTTATTTGATCAAACTCAAAATGTAGGAAAAGGGTTGTTAAATGATTCATTTACTTTATTAAATGATAAGATACCTAGCAGAAACAATTTATGTCATGATCACGATTACTGCTTTAATGCAGATGTAAACAGGTCAAAGGTGGTTAATTCAAACAATGTGAAAGACGTATCTAAGAACAAGAATGTTGTAGTGATGCAGAATCCATGTGTTGAGGGCTGGGACTTGCAGCAATCAATACGGAAAAGAAATAATGAAGATCCATGCAATGTAACACAAACAGATAATTTGCTACACAAGCAACTTTCTACTAGTAAAAAATTAAAGAGAGTTGAAGGAAACACAAATCATGAAATAAACGTTTGTTATAATGAAATTAGAGATAATCTTAAATCTAAAGGACAAATGGTTGAGACATCAGTGATAAAAGGAAGTAACTCAAAGCATGTTAAATGTTATAAAATACAGAATAGAAGTGGTTCACACAATGTTATTTTGGCATATTTAGGTGGGCAGAAGAACTTTGTTGAGATACCATCGGGTATGAATGTAAATCTCAATGCTGAGAAAACAAAAACCATTTTACAAGCAGGTTCATTAAAACCTAATATGAAAAGTCTAAGGCAAAAACCAACAGATTTAGTTCAATTGCATAAGCCAAATGCAGATACTAGTATATCTCTGACAGCAAAGACTATGTCTCCTGGAGAAAACACTGATACAAATCTGATCATAAAAACAAGTGATAAATGTGAACAGAAAGCAATAAAAAGTGTTTTGGATAGACGTAAAATAAAATCTTCAAAGGTACCAAATGAAGGACAAATATCAGGGACTACACCTGTAGTTAATATAGTTGATGTTAGTGAATGTTCAAAAACAGGAAGCTTTAAAGAAAGTAGACAATTTGGCAACATAAATCAACAGAAAGCAATAAAAGGTGTTTTGGACAGACGTAAAATAAAATGTACAAAGGTATCAAAGAAAGGACCAACATCAGGGACTACAGCTGTAGTTCAGTTAGTGGATGCAAGTAATGGTTCAAAAACAGGAAGCTTAAAAGACACTGGACCATTTGGCAACATAAATGAGGTAATATATAATACTTTATTGTATATGTAGAATCTCAGAGGAGTTGCCATATACAAATGTAATAATACATTTCATTAAACAAGTTTAAAAAAATTTCATAAGGGAGCCTTAGGCAGGCTTTGAAATATATTCTTTGGCTAGTTCGATAAAATTTTATATTTTATGACAAAAATGCGATAGTCATTAGATCATGTGCATGTTTGCAACATCAGTTAAAGCTTTTAGTTATGTAAATGTTGCAACCTTCAATGGTCAAGCACATAAGAGGAAGTGCAGTGCACAAGAACCATAACTCCATTTTGACAAATTACAGAGTTATTTCCTGTTGATTCTTTTCCTTGTCCAGAGCATAACTTGAAAAGTACTGGTTGGAATTCAAAACAATTTCATACAATGGTCAAGCACAATTAGAGGAAGTGCAGTGCACAAGAACCATAACTCGGTCTAGAGAATTTATAGAGTTATTGCCCTTTGTTACTTTTCCATGGCTTTTTTTGTCGAGAGCATAACTTTGAGACTAATGGTTGGAATTCAATATAACTTCATACAATGATTAAGCACATTGAGAGGAAGTGCAGTGCACAAGAACCATAACTCCATTTTGACTAATCAGAGTTATTGCCCTTTGTTACTTTTCCTTGTCGGAGCATTATTTGAAAACTACCTGTTGGAATTCAATACAACTTCATAAACTGGTCAAGCACATTAAGAGGAAGAGCAGTGCACAAGAACCATAAATCCATTTTGACAGATTACAGAGTTATTGCCCTTTGATACTTCTTCTTGTCCAGTGCTTAACTTGAAAATTAATGGTTTGAATTCAATGCATCTACGTACAGTGGTCAAGCACAATAAGAGGAAATGCAGTGCACATGAACCATAACACTATCCAGAGCAGTTATAGAGTAATTGCCCTTTGTTACTTTTCCTCGTTGCAGAGCATAACATGAAATCTAATGGTTGGAATATGATACAATTTCATACAATGGTCAACTCTTTCTTGACTCATTTAAGAGTTTTTGCCCTTTGTTACTTTTTATTGTCCAGTGCATAACTTTAATTAATGGTTGGAATTTAATGAAACTTCATACAATGGTCAAGGCAGTGAGAGGAAGTGCAGTGTACAATAACCATAACTCCATCTTCAGTATTTGTAGAGTTTTTGCCCTTTGTTCTTTTTCCTTGTCGGTGCATAACTTAAAAACTAATGTTTAGAATTCAATGCAACTTTATATAATGGTCAAGCGCATTGAGAGGAAGTGCAGTGCTTAAGAAGTGTAACTCTTTCTGGACTTATTATAGAGTAATTCAATAAAACTTCATCAATGGTCAACCACAATGAAATATACAAGAACCACAACTATCTTTAATTGCCCACAACCATAACCCTATTTCAATTCTTTAACAAGGTATTCTGTTACTAGTATTTTCCTCAGTTACGAAGCAACCTTGCTTGGTATTCATCACATTTACTGATAGTTTCAGTTTGATGAGATTAATTAATGTAAATATTTGCCTAGTCACCTAAAACAATGGTCAATAATGATGCTTTATTAATGGTTTAATCTGATTTTTCCTCCAGGTTTCAGACTATGATAAGAAAACAGAAACACTATTAAAGAAACAAATTTTTAACAGCTCCCTGCTTAGAAAAAGAACAGAAATGTCAACCAACACAACAGGTAATGTTGAACCATATGCAGTTGAGGAAACACAAATAGGCAAAGTCAGACTGGGCTCTGATGAGGTACAAAACAAATCTCTTTCTGGGAGTAGAGTGCCCAATGAAGTTTTAGTTACAAGAAAAGATTATTCTAGTAAGAGAGCAAGTTCTGAAGCAGAGATTGACAATCCTTTTGATGGATATATGCTACGGGACAGTGGAACAGACAGCAGAATTGATGTAAGAGATCAAGATAACAATATTGACATCGTAATTAACACAACTGATCCTGATGGAATGCCAAATGACAATGAAATTCCTGGTACTGCTACACATTCATTTGTTGATCCTGAAGCTTACACTGTTGAAGTAAAGGTCCTCGTATGTGAAGAGTGCTGTTCTGTTTTCAATAATGTCACAGATTATGATAAACACCTTCAAACTTGTCATGTGGATTCCAAGAAGAGTAAGATTTGTGGTGTTTGTAGAGTGGCTTTCCCAGATGTTAAGACCTTGCATACACATGAGTGCAAACGTAATACAGACTGTGTGAAATATATGTGTTACTTGTGTAAAAAGGTAAAGTATATTGTAATTTATAATCATAGTTCTTAAAGCTGCACTCTACACAAATGTACCATTCTGCTTGGCAATGTAAGGGAGAGCATCTGATTAATAAATCCAGGGCTTTCTGGTTTGATCTTAGTGTGAGGGGATAGTCCCTGTGACAATAGATATTGGACATTGAGTTTAATGGTCATTTGTCTCTCACTACTGATTCAGATCATAGATTAGTCTGTCACTTGCTGAGAGATTGGTAATTACTGGTTAGTTGTCCAGGAAAGCAGTTAAGGTAGATAGACCACCGGGTTATGACCCCAATGTGTTTCAGTTGGCGTAAAAAACATATAAATAAACAAACCAGCAGCTAAAGGTTCCAATCCCATCAGGGATTTTGGATTCTTTCATGCAGCTATCTTACAGATGGTCAGTGGTTCTACTGTGTCTGAAATATGGCACACAGAGGTACTAGTGGTCTTCCTCAAACAGTAATGCTGAAAGTCACCATCATGACCTTTACAGTGTTAATTTGACTTAAAATCTAACAACTATAGCTACTGGAGTATTAACTTCTTCTGTATATTTTGACATGTTATATGATACATGTAGTGTGTGCCTGTATAAGGTTAAATCTCTCTGTTGGGACACTATTTGATATTACAAAATGTAATTTTCATGAAAAGTAAAACAAAAATCTAAATCTAAAAGCATGTTGATTTTTACATTCTTTATGCAGAATTTTATTTACAAAATAAAAATTCTCACTGTCAAAAACTTTTATGCTATTCTTAAGATTAGTTATTCAATGATTTATGTCTTATTCAAGGATATTCTTTCATTAATTTATGCCTACTTCAAGGATATTCACCTACTTCAAGGATATTCACTCATTATTTATGATTAATTTAAGGATATTCGATCTTTCATATCTTTCATTTATGTCTAATTCAAGGATATTAACTCTTTAATTTATGTCTAATTCAAGGATATTCACTCATTAATTTATGTCTAATTCAAGGATATTCACTCTCTTGCTTATGTTTTCTAATAATGGAGTGAAAAAATAACATAAGTATCTCATTATTTTTGTAACACTTATACATTTATGTTTTATTGAATAAATTCTTTCATTTACTCATATCTAATTGCTGAGACTCTCTAATGCCTTATATTTGGAATTCTCTATTTCAGTTGCCTCAATATTACTGCAGAAATTATGTCTAATTCACAGAATGTTATGGTAGATTTATGATTTATTGTAGTAAACTTATTCGGTTAAATGCTTTTATAATTGCAGAAATTATTGTATTAGAATTAATTAAAAAAATTTATGACTAATTGTTGAGATATACATATTATATGTTATTGAAGAAACTAACTCATCCATTAGAGAATGTATTTCCAGTCTTATGGGAGAAATTCTGTCATTTGTTTGGATTTTATTGCAGATACATATAATTATGTCTTATTCTACTCATGCATGTCAGTTGTCTCTTTCATATAATATATAGAGATTATTGAATGTGTGCAGGTTTAATACTAAATTTTTTAACGAGTTTAATAAAATCATACGTTGAATAAAATCATGTGAGCCTCTGGCCAGCATACTACCGAAACATGTATTGTTTTATTCAACGAGTCCAATAAATTTAGCATTGAGTCTACACGAAGATAATATTCTATATATCACATAATATAAATAAGAACAGCAAACTGTCGTTTTTCGTTGACACTTATTGAGTTTATAATGTTTGAACGCAGAAATATTTAGCTGGACTTTTAAGCTTATACAATATTTAGTGTCTGTTGTACAATTTTGGTCAAGATTAACTGTAACCAACACCACTTTTTTCCTATAACCTATGAGGCATTGCTTTTTTAAGTGAACATCGTCGCCACTACCAGACAAGAGAACAAAACTCTGACAAAATTATGTCCCTTTTTTACTAAGAATTCGGTTTTAGAGTTTTTTTGTACCACCCGTTTTATGTCCTAGTGCTTTGAAACTTGTTAGTGACGATCATCCTTACTTCCAGGTGTGTACTAATAATAGAGCGTGTTTAATTATGGACAACTCTTTTTTTTTTCATTTGTCTTATACTTTTTATGTCTTTTTTTTTTGTAGAAATTCATGAAGCGTGATGTTGTTTTGGCTCACATGAAGATCCATTCAGAACCGAAAGAGTTTATCTGCGAGATTTGTCAAAAAAGTTTCCTTCATAAACACCATCTAGTCACTCACATGGATTCTCACACAGATTTCAGACCCTACAGGTGTCAGGTGTGTCCAGCTGCGTTCAAACGCAGTTCTCATCTACAAAAACACCAGTTACGTCATGGACCGGTGAGGGAGAGAAAGTTTAAGTGCCGGCATTGTGATATGAGTTTTTTTGATAACTACAAACGTGAACGACACGAAAAAGTTCATTCATCATCACCGAAAAAATTTGTGTGTGAGATTTGTAACGGAATGTTCTGGGAAAAATATATATTAAAGAGACATATGCTTAAGGTGCATTTTGATGATTCCAACGAAAATAAAATGTCTTCGAAAAGTAAAAGGCAATTTAAATGTGGAATTTGTGGAGCCGTTTATTATTGGAAAAAACATTTGGATACTCACATGACTTCTCATAGTGATGACGTAATTAACTCTAATGTGAATGTCTCTAACGTCAGTAACCGTGATAATGAAAAAGCAGGCGATGATTTATCAAATAAATCGGCTGAAACTGACAATCACGAACTCGCAGGCAGACTCACTGGCAGTGTCGATAAGGAGAAGGGAAAACCATGCAGCACCAGAGCTAGTTCAAAAAGAAAAAGAAAAAAGTTTAATAAAAATAAGAAAATGTGATGAAAATATTCATTTACTGTAATGTAAGAATGTTGTTTGTGAGATTATATTATTAGATCCGGCATATGTTTTAGGATATAAATACTGCTGACACCGGTGCCAGGGTGCTTAAGAGATAATAAACATTACATGTACATTATCTCTCACTAATAGGCTCAATACATCTAGTCTGCAATGTTCAACTATTTGGTTGAGGGATCTTCCTTTCCATAATTTTTATGAATTGTTGTTAAAAATACTCTTTGAATTGTTTAAGCGTAATCGATTTTCAACTATAATGATTTTCGACTTTCTGGAACGACAAGAAATAAATTTGTTTGCTAGCTTTTCTATTAAATTCATCAAACACAGTCCATATACCAAATGAGAAAACAAAATCCTCTGTAAAGGTCATTCCAATAACAGCTGCTGCATTTGAGCTTTATATTAATCGTTCGTGATTTGACTTGACAAGGAAATTTTTATGTTTCTATTTTCTTCATTTTTGTTCAATTTCTGGTATATTATGGTGACCTCTCTTGTGAAAAAAATGACCTCACGTGACTGGGGGTCATTATTCTTTTTAAAGTTATACATGTAGATCGATTGTCATGATTTCTGGGGATCACTGTACTTTGATACTCCGCACAATTGTGCCGCTAATGTTCATGATTTTCACTGTTCTTTATTCAGACAGTGAGTACAGATATTTTGAAATTTCCCCCTTAAAATGATAAATGGATTTGTTCAGATTGAAAGATGAACAAGTCCAATTAAAACTGATGCGTTTCGAAGGAGAAAATATAACATTAAACAACTGATATGATGGCTGTGACGTCGTCGTCGTTATCCTGATCGTCGTGCAAAAACTTTATTGAAGGACATTATTCAAACAGTTTAAGAGGTATTAACGCGAAACGTGAAATACTTGTTTATTGTGTAAGACAGTGGGCATTTATCTAAAAGCTATATTTTTAGGCATGCCCTTTTTTAGCATATTTTTTTTTTCTCAAAATTGCTTGGGAACTGCTCATTTAGAATAATAATAATAGAGTGGTCCACTATTACGTTGTAAAACCGTTATGATTTTAGCATATTGTTATTGTACAAGTTATTTCTAGCCAAGCAAATATCTTACAAATTAAGAGGTTATAATTATTCCACCTGTCGGCGTAACGCTGTACATTTTTTGAAAAATTGGAATCTTAAAAGTTTTTTCGCCTGTAAGGATTATATACCTGCTTTATCTTTTGTATATTTTTTGCATATTTCAAGTGATCATGTGTCTTATTTTAAATTATAAAATAACATTGCATTACATTTGATTACATAGAGGATATTTGTTTAGTTCAGTGTAAGATCGGAATACATTTCACCAAGTGAGCACCAAAAGGGCACAGCCACGAGTGAAATATGAACTTTTGGTGTTAACAAAGTGAAATATATTACAATTTTACACTAAACTAAACAAATTTTCTTTTTATTACATGCAAAGAAACGTTTTAAAAAGACATTTAACCTAATATTGAATGAAAAGCTCACCAAATAATAATACAACGTGACGTCATTTACGACTGCACTGCACTTCTATTCAATGAGATCTATCTACATGTATCTATTAAGTTTCGTGATGATATCTCAGATAGTTTCAAAGTTATGTCCAGGATAAAATTCAAAGTGTAAAAATGAACAAAGGGCAATAACTCCAAAATTAGACAAGGCTGTGTTTAGGTTCTTTAGCATTGCAGTTCTATCCAATGAGATCTATCTACCTACAAAGTTTCATGTTGATATCTCTAATAGTTTTAGAGTTATGTCCCGGACAAAAGTCAAAAAGTAAAAATAAACAAAGGGCAATAACTTCAAAATAAGGCAAGGCAGAGTTATGGTTCTTTAGCACTGCACTTCTACCCAATGAGACCTATCTACCTACAAAGTTTCATGTTGATATCTCTTATAATTTTAGAGTAATGTCCCGGACAAAGTTCAAAGTGTCAAAATGAACAAAGGGCAATAACTCCAAAATTAGGCAAGACAGAGTTATGGTTCTTTAACAATGCACTTCTACTCAATGAGATCTATCTACCTACAAAGTTTCATGTTGATATCTCTTATACTTTTAGAGTTATGTCCCGGACAATGTTCAAAGTGTAAAAATAAACAAAGGGCAAAATTAAAAAAGCACGACAGAGTTACGGTTCTTGTGCACTGCAAACCTACTCAATGAGATCTATCTATCTGCGAAGTTTCATGCCGATAAATCTTTTAGTTTTAGAGTTATGTCCCTGACAAGAAATGCGGAAGGACGGACGGACAAAGCGGCGACTACATGCTCACCCTTCGGGGAGCATAAAAAAGGACAATTTGTCAAACTAGTTCTCGTGACAAAATGTTTGGTAAGGTGCAATACCGACGATTTGACCGAGTTCAGCATACAGGCATTTACCATTTATGTGCAAAGCAATTGTTATATTCCATTCTTTATGTACTGTTTTACCTTTTCATTTGACTGTTAAGAAAGTTTGTGTACACATAAAATGAAACGTCACTCTTACACTATCATAAACAAACAGTACAGTAGAATGTCTTTAAATCTACATAAACCTACTTATCGTGTTAGTTAAGGGGCAATAGTATGTAAGCTTTAATTTATGAGTTATGCCCCTTTGTTCACTTAGATTATATTTTTGGTTAGAAGTTGCCGTTAACAGACGAGCGTAACTAACACTGTATAAGGTGCTCTTGTTTATATTTACAAGGTAAGGGTTAACTCTTTATTCATCTCCAGATATTTATCAACTCTATCATTAAAAAAACATATCTAAATAATGATGTACAATATGATGTAAATGGAAAAATATACATTATCCGGAGTTGCTTTATTAAAGGCACATTAAGCCTACAAAATGACTACATATTCCCTTCTTCTGTGAAACCCCACACACGAAATTAACGGGGGTATATAGGATTCATGATTGTCGGTCTGTCAATCGGTCTCTTCATGGTTTCATGGACGATAACTTTAGTTTGGAATGACATATTGTAATCAAACCTGACATATAGAAACTTTATGCGAAGACCTTGGTTGGTAAAGCTTTTGGACCCCCTGGGGCCAAGGTCAAGGTCGCTAGCTGTTACTTAAAATAGAAAAATGGTTTCCGGACAATAACTAGAGTTTGTTATGAGATATTGTAATCAAATTTGATATGTGAAGAATCTGGTTGGCATTGCTTTTGGACCCCCTGTGGCCAAGGTCAAGGTCACTTCTGCTTAATATAGAAAAACGGTTTCCGGACTATAACTGGAATTTAGAATGAGACTAATATAGAATCTATCATTGGGTTTATGAAAGGAATCCAACCTGGGGTATCATCTAAAATTGGCAGTCCCCCATAGGGGTTACTTCAAGGTCTGCTCGTAATTACAAAAATGTACCGGACATAAACTGTTAGTGAAATGTATAGCGATGATTCATGTTATTAACGACCGCGAATTACTTTGCATAGACTTTGTGGTCAAGTCACTGTTATGAAAATAAATAAATGGTTCTTGATCAATAACTAGAGTTAGATGATAATATGAACAATTGGTATATGCAAGTTAATAAAACGTTAGAATTAGACAAGTGTCCAAATAATAAGTGTTTAATTAGATATGAATTAGCTTTGTATATAGCAAGCTATATGTAAGACATGGCTGTATTGTTTTGACCTTGGGCAAGATCAAGTCATGTTGCTAAATAAAAATGAAAATGTTTCCTTGTCATAACATAAAGTTTCGGAATCAATATTGTATCAAACTTATAAATATGATCAGTCCAAGTGGATACTTTTGCCCGAGGTAAGTCATCCGTTACAAAAAGTAGAAAAAATGTTTCCATGGCAATAACTATAGTTTTGAATTAGATTTTGAAATCAAGCTTGGTATATAGCAAGCTTATGTGAAAACACTGGCTGGTATTGTTTCCCCCCCCCCGCCCCGGGTCCATTAGGGCAGTGTTGCTAAAAATGAAAAAATGTTTTTTGAACAATAACATTATTTAAGAATGAGTTATTATTATCAAACTTGATATTAAGCAACCTTTTGTGGAAACTCTAGAAATGAGATATTATAATAAAATTTGGTGTTAAGCAAGCTTATAAAAGGCCATTGTTGGGATTGCAATTAATTGAAATAATTCTTTGTAAACGATTGAAAGATTATAAATTATAGATTGAGTTCAAATTTTTCTTCAGACCACATTTTTTTAGAAAGTCAAAGTTGCTTGTGGGGGTATTGATCACATTCAGTGATAGCTCTGGTTAATTAAGGACAACTTGAGGTGCAAATGACCTAAACAAAAAAGCGTTGAATGTGATAAAGGTAGCAAAATGTAAACAAAGTAGTATTTTGACTTCATTGGACATGTTTTTTAAACAGCAACAAGGACATGGCATAAACAGGAGAAAATGTTATTTTCTTTAAACAGAATTTAACAAGTTATGTCAAACAGGAGTTCAGATGCTATTTTACAATTATAAAACGTAAATCGATATAGTTACGTACATGTACCAATTTCAAAATAATTATGACATATGATTCTATCTCGTATAGATAAAGCCACGTTAACATCTGCGTAATGAAGTACCTAAATGGGAAGGGCTTAATCTAATGTTGTGAGAACTTGTTGCCCAACCCATTTGCATTTTGATATATATATACTTTATTTGTATGCTATATTTGTAAACATGTATTAAATGCAATAAAATATGTTTAAACTAAAAGTACCTAAATCAATTAAATAGTTATTCATTAACGCAAGACTAAAATTAATGTTTACATCAGCATACTTGTAGTTCTCTGCAGCTGTAAAATGTCGAGTCCATCCCCCATCAACTATAGATAGTCTTAGTTCCACAGGAATTACGACTAAGATGTAAATAGCCTAATTATATTAGTAGAGATTTAATCATTAATGGAGCGCAAACATTCATAAATCTTTCGCTATCACTAAGATTTTCTGCTTCTAACTTAAACCCTTAACCCGCTGAAATTTCGACATGGATTCGCCCTGCTTTGAATTTAGAACAGTCCATCTGAAGTTTTAAGGGGTTTGAAAAATTAAGTTGCAAAGATTAAGCAATCTCCAGCGTCCGACTGCACGTGAGTGCAAACTGGTAAGGCTTCATGCTGGTGCAAAGGGCCAATTACCGGAATTGGCGATGTTCTATTTTTATTTTTAAAATCAATTGCAAAAAACCGAAATAACACTGGTTTATTTTGACACCATGCTTGTCGACGTTTTATGATTAGATTGTGTCGTAAATCAGTAAACTGACTTATATTCGAGCACCATGACATTGTGGAAATTTAGTAGATGATATAGCTAAAAATTGATATAAAACATCATCATTTAAATAAATAAATAAATAAATAAATAAATAAATAAATAAATAAATAATAATAAAATAATAATAATGATGATAAACAAACAAAAACATAAGATGGCAAATGTTTTTAATTAACACTATTGTATACTAAATACAGTGTACCCGGTGTCGCGCGACACTCAATAAGACAAGTACCTCGTTACCAATTCTTTTCAAAGGAAGACGCGTTAACTCCACTAGTCAAACACCTCTAAAAACAATCAAAATTTTGGTCTTTAAAATGGTGATGATCTGCTGATTTTATACTGTAATTCAAACGTTAATATGGTAATGTGATTTAAAAGTTTATGTGACCATGTGAATTTAAAGATATTGTGGCAAGTCTGTTTAAAATATGAAGTTGTTATGTGATTAAAAGCTATTTCAAACATGACGTGGGAATGTGAAATTAAAGATAATGCGCTTTTTATATCGAAAAAGAGAAACACAGAATCTCTAAAGAACGCACTAAACGACAAAACTGAAAATGCTGCAGGCTCGGTTTGATTGAGGATACTGGAAAATGCAAGTTACCGTCTATGCCCCCTAGCACCTGCTTATGCAGAAGTCAACATTTTTATTACATCTTTGATTATATGTACTTTTACGGCCTCCTCACGGCACAAATAACACTAACGTGGTAATAAAATAGAGAAAATCAGAATCCCTAAAGAACACCAAAAACGACAAAATTGAAAATATTGCAGATTCTGTTTGATTCATACTTTTCAATTTTTTCTTTTAACATTTTCAACTTTTTGCACATCTTTCCCGCCATTTCTTGTGTCCAAGTCTCATTGCATTGGTTAAAGTTGCCGACTTTAAATCACTTTGGACTCTCATTCGAGGAAGCAATCCACTTAGCTTGCGGAACGTCGGTGATTCAGGTACACACTCACGTCTGAAATAATACACGAAGTGGGCACCTAAGGTTTTCCCCCACCAGCAAAGCTAGATAGTCGCTATACAAAAAAAGAGAATAAAAAAATGCTGGAGCACCATACTTATATATCGTATTCCGGTATATACCGGACCTGTCGGTACAACGATTAATTGCTAATATATTGAGTATTTCACCTGCCGAAATGCACTAATCCGGCTAATTCGTTACCTTACACCGAATTTTTACGATTATGAATGATAAATGTTAGAATTGCAGAAAAAAAGCAATATCATTCTACTTGTGATCATGATTTCTGTCAAGCGTCTATATAGGTACTGTTCAGTGACTTTTACTATATCGGTAAGACTAAAAACCCAACAAAACAAACAAATTAAATCTCAATATTCACTATGAAAGATATCTACAAAAATAAACTATTTTTGCAAATGGACGTTAATACTATCTCGCGAGTATCGCTGAGTGTGGCCCTTTTTTGATAAACTTCTTTTTGTTCTTTTCGAAGTTGAAAAGATTTATGTATTTTCATTCAAATAAATACTAATAAATTTTCAGCATCGGCGAATAGTCGAACACCGTGTATACATTTCTTTGCTAAACAACCTGGGAATCTAATTATATTAAATGTGATTTATTACCAATTTTATCATGTTTAGGTATTGCTTATTCAAATCATATAAGTAGTTTTAAAAAGTAAGGTTTACCTGGTGTTTTGTCGAAATAGGACCGTCTAATTGTTTAGTAATCATAGATTGCTTGGCAACGCTCTTGGTCAATACTTTTTATATGCGATCTTTTCGTACTAACGCTTTTTATCAGCCTTGATATGCAATTACAACTTATTTATATCTTTTTTGAACATTTTAATAAATATGGAATGGAATATATATTTAGAAACATATTTATACTTTGTGGAAGATATGATCCATAAGCAAATAAGAACCACAGAGACGGCACCCCAGAATGATTGTTATTACAGATGTATCTTCAATACATTTAAAACTGCTAACAAATCAGATGGCTGGAAACAGGGTAGGCACAGTTTGACCCGTTATCCGTCAGCGACAAAGTCTGATGTGTGTATCATATGTTTGTATAGAGTGGCCCACATTTCAAATATGTAAAACCACCTTACGTAGATCCGAAGCAACTAATTGCGTGTCGTAATTTAGGGTCACCGGTTATGTACATAGGGAGATAAGCCCGGACTGTCTTATTCTTATTCTCTTTAAAGTTGTTCTAGCAAGTTCGGCTCAAAGTTGAGTAGAGCGAAGAACCTACTTTATGGATTTTTAATAACAAAATGAAATATTTAATTTTGTGAATATAAATAATAATAAAAAAATAACAAATAATTTTTATAAATTTATGAACTTATCGATTTTTCAAACTTTTGAGATAAATTCTTCTATAAAAATGAACACAAATCCAAATACGTCAACGGGTGGTTGGCGATTTTCGGACGTGCAAGTTCCGGATATGTTCTCCGGCAACGAAAGTGGAAGGCCAAGCACGGTCGCAACTGTAAGAGTGTAAGTATAAACGTTTTCACGTTGGAATTTAAATAAATCTATTTTGTTTATGCTAAATGTGGTGAAAAACTAAATAAATTCGTCGTCCCTCAGCATACAAAGTAACACGCTTCAAGATTTTATTGAAATTTATTTTTATGAAAACTTGAAGACGGATGAATATTCTGTCAAGTGTATGAATTAAATGTAAATTATCTAATTTAACCTAAGCCACTTACTACCCACCGAAATAACATTATATAACTATTAAACTGAAGCAGAATTTTTTCTTTCTCAGTTAATAACGGATGGATATTAGGAGATAAAAATAGTAAATTCTGCTCCTATTTTTCACAATACATTCAAGTTTAATATAGGCTTTAAATATTTTTTTCTTAAGTCTTAACTCATTTGGAGGTATACCGCTCTAACAGTAACTGTTATTTTAATTTTAAAGTCCCAATATATAAGAAACAACTCCGCTTTTCTGTTCAATTCAATTTAGTCATTTATATACCTTTTGAGTTTATGTATTCATAAGGCTTCTACTCATTTAGAAGTGTCCATAACATATTTGGTGTATTCATTGTACAAGATATGCTTTGATTTTGCACAAAAATAATGATAAAAATGTGTACTGTAAAAGCATTAGATAAAATAAATAAAAATGACTGTATATTTTATCACGGCTTTGATTTGTACGTTATGGCTACCTGAAAACTGTCGCTGGCCTCGACTGAGCGTGCAGAAATAAGACATCTAAATTAGAAGACATGATGATACATAACAAAGAGCGATATCAAGCCCTGTATAGGCTAAATAACACTGAAGATATTCAACTTTGTTTGAAATAACAGGACTGGAAACAATAATTGTCCGAGATTAGTGTACCATTTCCTGTAAGTCTGCACCAATAGATTATGTGGAAAATTTCAGATCATTCGTCCAGAATATATCTGTTGCGCACAGTAGAGCTCCATTAAAACTTGTACAGCTATATCTAATGAAATGTGTTTACAAATTTTATACCTGGTTAATTTCTGTTGTTTCTATAATGTATTGGTTGGTTCCAAAAGAATACCTCTGTTATTTAATACACACGATACGTTAACGGAATACAATGTTCCTGAACCGTTTTATACCGATATTTTTATCAGAGTCATGCTCGCGCCATGCCCTTATAAGAAAACTATACAAACCATTTTTTATATATATGTATTTTGGAATTGTTCTTTTCAAAATTCAAAGTATGATTTTGTAAAACTACACTTTAAAGAAGAATCCTTATTATGCATAACTCATAACATGTCGATTTACACATATATATCCCTTATTTGTTGAATAGGTCTTATCTGAGAAACATGCGTATCGTTCGATATGTTTGAAATATACCAAATTTGTGATTAAGAAGCAATATTAACCGTGCGACAAATATTTTGTCCCTGTAAGAAAGAATCTTTTCGGCAAAAAGAGATATGCACTGGAAATGATTGCTGATAAATCAAAGAAACAAACAAACACATTAAAAGAAAGAAAGAAAGAAAAATAGAAAGAAAGAAATAACGAAAATGAATAAAGAATGAAAACTATAATAAAGCAAAACGCAACGAAAAACACACCATAGCTATAGAGTCAATGTTAGAGACATTCATATTCAAAAGCACACCAAAATGTTTATCAAATATTGTTGGTCACTAATATATGAAAACCACTTTGGAAATCTTGACGCCTCAATATATAGAGGATATTTGTTTAGTTCAGTGTAAGATCGGAATATATTTCACCGAGTGAGCACCAAAAGGTATATTTCACGAGTGGCGCAGCCACGAGTGAAATATGAACTTTTGGTGTTCACAAGGTGAAATATATTTCAATCTTACACTAAACTAAACAAATTTTCTTTTTATTACATGCAAAGAAACGTTTTAAAAAGACATTAAACCTAATACTGAATGAAAAGCGCCAAATAATAATACAACGTGACGTCATTTATGACGTCACGTCATTAAGTTGGTACTCAGTACTGTGCACGCTGGTATTTCACTGAAACAACGTAAGGGGCTTAAATTCAAAACAGTGAAATTATCAAAGTGGTAATTTCACTGTTTCAAACAGTGAAATTACCAGTTTTATATCACTGATATATTTCTATAAACCACCGAAAAGCATGTAATAAATATCAATAAACTTATATTTATGTATTGTATATAGGGTAAAGAAAACAAGCGCTTTGGTGTCAACTGCCTTGTTCATCTTGGTCGTCGCGACGCTTGGTCTAGCTGTGGCACTAACAGTGATTATTGTAAAACATAATAACGAAGATGGCGGCGAGTCGTCTGCTCCAGGTGAAATTATTATCTCACTTGTTCTTAATGCTGCACTTACATCAAACGATAAATATTGCAATAAAAGATGACATGCTAATCTTTAAATCCATAAAACACATATTTCAACCTATTTCGCACATCTTATCTTGGTTTTAAAAGAATGCTTGATTATTTCGTATATCTATGTTATCAACTTATCATATATATAGAAAATGCAAATTGTAGTGTACTTGTTAATATTATTACTCAATACGTTGGTATTCAACAAAGAACAGTTAAATTTTTTGCGCCGATTTGCAGCCGAATCATTGGAACTTAACCATCACTGCTATATTTTCAAATCTCGACATGTGCTATGGATACTTTCATGTAAAAATAGCTGACTGAAGCTCAGTGGGTCTACCCAGGTGCCCGTTCCTATCTGAAATAATGCATGTAAAGGGTCCATATGACTTTAACAAAGTCTTAAACTTTCTCATTTTGTTTTTCAGAGATATGTCGAACCGATGGCTGCACGCAAGCAGGTATTTGACAATATTTATCAGCATAAGTTATTTTAGTTTCCAAAGATGGTATTATTATGTCCGTGGTGATATTGCCACATCTATACTAGGAGAATATTTGTATAAGCATGCAACATAGGTATTTCCAAATGAATACAATTAAATTGTTAGAATTTGCATCTTTATTTTAGAGCAAAATAGGTTTTTTTTAACGTGCGTAGGAAAACCTAAGTGGGAAATATTTATTTTGCTTTTGTCACGAACCTTTCCTGCAACCATATTTCTTCTTAAAATAAGATATGTACAGCAAGGATGGACCCCTCATTTACTTACTTTACTTTACGAATTGGCTAATGAACTATCTTCACAAACACACATATGGTCACGTGAAGATTGCTTGTACATTATTTATACATTTGCTTTATTTCAGAAATGTTTTAGATAATGTTCGAATAAACGATAAATAATGCACGTGGTCCAAGGAAATTTCTATAAATAAACATCAAAATTTTATTGTAATGTTGAATTAACAACAAGATTGGGGCATTCTTTTTATATTATAGGCAGATTTATATTTTATCCTAAACATTTTATAACATGCACTGTTGGTAAATCACCACTTGAACAGGCAGTCTTTCGAAATATATATTTGATTCAGTTCAACTTGACAATGACTAAAATGAGCATAAAGTCACTTCAACAATTAGACGAGATCTTGTACGTACTTAGGATAAAGTAATACTTAATAAACCTTGTCCAAATAAAGGTACGAGTACTATTTCAAGTATCAAGTGAATTTTGTTTGACGAATTGAAAATGTACTTCTTCAATTAACGATCGGAGTATTTGATGAAGTCAGTAGCATATGCTTATAACACATACATACTTGTATTGCAAGTGGGTGAAACTGGCATACAACTGTTGCTGTATACGTAAAGTATTACAAATATTTTGTTTGTACATATTTTTCATATCAGTTATTTATTACATAGTTGGAAAATAATGTCTCGGTTTGTTTACAATTTCACAATGCACGCGATTAAATAATGCATACATCTTTTATCAATTTAATTGACGAATGCATCGTTTTTAGTTTAAATAATAACAAAATAATCCTGACTCGCCTTTGACATTGAACTTTATAAAATGCATGTTTTTAATTAACATCCATTTTCACTGTGCAGCCACAACGTTTTTTATATATATTTATAATATGAATATATGATCTATTTTATTTATATATACAAAGCTGTAACGTGTTCACGGGGGAGGAAGTGTTACACGAGGGATGGAGTTCTTATGATAACTTCTTGATAACTGTCACGGAGTTCGTCGGAAAACTTTTGTATATACTACAAAACACTCGTCAAAAATGGTAATTTTCATCGTAGAAAAGTGAGTTTTAGGTGCTAAATTAATCTTTAATGATTAAGCTTGCCTTACATATTGTATTATGTGTCAAAAACTAATTCATAGTCTTTCTTTCATCGCCTCTTGCTTAAAATCTGGTAGTTTTGAGTAAAATGTTCAAATTATTTGCCTATTCGCCAGTATTGACCTGTTTATTTCAAGTCTTCATCCTTGCCATACATAATTACCTAATTATAATGCAAAATTTCAAACATAAAGCCCCGACTAACAAGTTTATACCCGATTTTTCAAATGTCCCGGAGTTCTTGTGATTACTCAAAATATGTCCTGGAGTTCTTATGATAACTTTTGTTACTGCCAATGTGTTTCTTGTGCTAAATCACGATAGGTTTTAGCGTTTTTTATTATTCAATAAGGTTATTAATACTTATGAAATATAATACGCTCATCATTTGCACAAAAATGTGTGGATATATTGTTGATCTTGATCGAGTGTCACGAAAGGATAAACAGGTGATAGGCTATCATCTACAGTAAAGATTGAATCAGCGGCAGTATCATGGCCTAAACCACAAAACAAAAATGTCTCAAAACTTACACGTTGTTCTCAACCATCTTTCTTAAGCAGATAATATATAGTTGTGCATCGCTTATCTAAGGGCTAAGTAATTTGTATCATTTTATACCATAATAAAGAAGTACATGTATAAAACCAGGATAATTTCTTCAAACCTATGTTTCCAAAAAGTACGACAATATGATAAAAACTCAACTGCGGTTGGCTCTATAACTACCGATCTCTCGAACAAATTTGCAAGTCCCTCCGGGTTCAAACGAAATAAGTTTGACTAAAATATATTTTGTTATCAATTCAGCAATATTAACAGAGTTTCCTCCACTAAGATAACATAGGGGAAATACCCATCGAACACCGGCAGAAAAATATACATGGAGACAGCATACTTGTGCGCATTTTATTATGAAAGTCAATGCTCTACATCAATCCTTTTTCCAGTCTACGAAATTTGCGTCAGCAAAAATACCAATGAGATATCTCAGTATTACATGTATTAATTCTTTAACTAAAGTACACTGGAAACCAACATTATATATCATCATTTTTATATATCATCGTGATTTTGCACAATAAACACATTGGCAGTAACAAAAGTTATCATTAGAACTCCAGGACATATTTTGAGTTATCACAAGCACTCCGGGACATTTGAAAAATCGGGTATAAATTTGTTTGCCGGGGCATTACGTTTGCAATTTTGCATTATAATTAGGTACTTATGTATGGCAAGGATGAAGACTTGAAATAAACAGGCCAATACTTGCGAAATGGCAAATAATTTGAACATTTTACTCAAAACTATCAGATTTTAAGCAAGAGGCGATGAAAGATAGACTATGAATTAGTTTTTGACACATTATACAATATGTAAGGCAAGCTTAATCATTAAAGATTAATTTAGCACCTAAAACTCACTTTTTAAAAATGAAAATTACCATTTTTGACGAGTGTTTTTGCAGTATATACAAAAGTTTTCCGACGAACTCCGTGACAGTTATCACAAGAACTCCTTAACAAGTTATCATAAGAACTCCATCCCTCGTGTAACACTTCCTCCCCCGTGGTGTTTAGAGATATGTTATCCTCAAGCTATTTGCATGATTCTGTTATCATATAAGCTAATACATGATAAAGCGTTTATACAACCGTCAAAAATCTTTATCTTCATAAGTTATAATATAAAACACTCCTTATAGTATCATTGTATCCATGTAATCCGAGTCATTACTGTTTGACACAAGCAACCTTCTATATCTCCAATATAAGTTTAAATGCAACGTTAGTCGTGCATATCTGGTGCCTTTACTCCCAAAAAATAAATAAGTGAACGATTAAATACCATCAAAAGTTTTTATTAACACGTATTTTTTACAATGTAATTAACAAATAAATAATTGTTATAAATAAATAAATAAATCATAAATAAATGAATGTTGATTAATTGATTGATTGATTGATTGATTGACTGACTGACTGACTGACTGACTGACTGACTCCTACCTGCCTGACTGACTGACTGACTGACTGAAATACCATGTTGTTATCTTTAGATAAATAAATTAACATTATCACGTTTCCATATTTTATTGTCGTTAGCTGCGCGAGTTCTCGATAATTTGGATCGCACGACGCCACCATGTGACGACTTCTATCAATTTGCATGTGGCGGGTTTCTGAAGACTCATGTTATACCAGAAGACCGCTCAAACATTGACATGTGGAGTATTGTCCGGGATAATGTGCAGTACACCTGCAAATGTAAGTTTATATTTTGTACAAACACCATATACATTCACAGAGATTTTGATACATTGGGCCATGGTATGGCTCTTAGATATTCAAATCTTGCTTAAGGGTCGAATGCATTTTATCCGCTATGTGAGATTATTATCGTCATACATTTACTATGCGGACAAATAGATCATCCTAATATGCTAATGATAAATAAATTACTTATATGACATCATAACTTACAATTGGTATGTTCATACAAACTGTTTGACACCTGGTTTAAAACAATCTTAAGTTACAACACATGGGTCCAAATGCCGGTAGAGATCAAAGGCGCAAATAAATATTTACTCGCCAGGAAACTGTTTTATGCCTAGTCATATGTCACTGACTGTAGCCTAGTTATTTTCTTACATCAGCACCTGTGGTTTTTCGTCACAACACTTAAGCCTCGAAATCGCATTATCATCTTCACTTTATCGATTGGATAAACCATATCTATTAAACAGTCATTTGACACTACAGAAATTATCAATCCAAACAAAAGTTAATCAGTGTTACAACGGTGCTCGGCCAAAAAGTGAGCAAATGAGACAAAACTGCATGGCCTAGAAACACACACCAAAAACAACAATAAAAGAAAACAAAATAATATATAACTGTTGTTTAATTTTGTACTCTTTTCAGATTTATTAGAAGACCCAAAGACAGACCCTAAAGCAATTGCTGTACAAAAAGCAAAAGATTTATATGCGTCATGCGTCAACACAAGTTTGTATTTATGTTTTTCTCATTAAAATAAATAATAAAAAATACATCGACAAAAAACAACACATACAAGCATTTTGAAGAAATAAGGTCCTAGTTGCCAACATATACCTTGCTTTTTTATAACTATATAGATCTATCACTTTGTGTCTTTTATAGAGGCGTCATTGATATATATTTACCTCTTGTAAAGACCCAATCTGACGGCATATACCGTTGATAACTTGGTATACATGGAAGTGTTTTTATCTGAATTTATTTTACACCAAATGATTCTAGACTGTTCCTCGTTCACATCATAACAAGTATATCAGATAAATTTAACACAATATGTGTTTCATCTATTGTAGCCCGTATTGATAAACAAGGACATGCAGTTGCAATTCCACTTCTGAATGAACTAGGAGGTTGGCCAATTCTCGGAAATAAATCCGGCGGAAACTGGAACGAAAGTAAATTTGATATAGCAGAGATAATGAAAACGCTCCGGAAGTACAATAACAAGGTCATTATAGACATGGGAGTGGGATTAGATGACAAAAACTCCTCCTATCATATTGTTACAGTAAGTATTCGATACATTATATTATAAATTAAAATACGTCTACTATCTTGGCGTTTTACTTTTACCCTTCAGACAACCGATTTTTGTTTGATTAAAAATGTTAGCGAGCAGAATTGCTTCACTTAAGGAGCAACAGAACATTCATTATTCAAGGAACCCACCCATATGCCTTATTTACTATACTTTAACTGGCAGATCGTTTTATATTGACATGTTCTTCTTTTCTCAGAGACTGAAATTAGCATAATAAGAACAATTATTTAGATGTAGCGAAAACATAAATTTTCGAAAAGTTAGCCGTTGCAGAATAGAAAATATAAAACAGTTAGCGGTTCCGTTATAGATTTCGTGTAAAAATGGACCGTATATATATGTTCTTAAAACGTTATATATTAAAACGGACAATCTATTTTTGCAATGATAATAAACAGTGTGATATAACGTTCGATATGCTCAAGTCTCATTCTCTCTTAGATCATTTTACAAACGAAGAAATTTATTTCTTACCAAATCTTCACAGAACAAAATAACATTGTCCAGGCATCAGTGCAAATATGTAAAATCAGGCATAAAATCGATCAGTACCAAGTTGAAATTATAGTAAATTTAAGGCATTGGTTTTATTTTAGATCAAAACATATAAGCCACTCTTAATTAGTAATATTCATTACAATTATGCTAGTCAAGGGTGTCGATCGCGACTGCTTGTAAGGAGAAGCATACAACATAAAAATATCATTTCAGTTATTTCTTATTTTACTTTTCAGTTTGATCAGCAAGATTTCGGCATGCCAGATCGAAAATATTATCTGGACACAAGAAAAACATACAGAGATATGGTTGAAGCATACATAATAATGGCTAGAGATATTGCTATAGAATTTGGAGCCAACCCTGAAACTGCCGATAAGGAAACAAGAGAATTTGTTCGATTTTGAAGCTGATATCGCTAAAGTATGTTTTCAAATTGTTTTTGAGATATAAACATGCATAATATGCCCCAGAAACGAATGTTTCTTTTTCTGCTAATATGAGTTTTATTCATGTAAGATGCAAAAAAAACCGAGGAAAGTAGTACTGAATGTAAAAGTGCTAAACATCAAAGTCAAAGTAGAATTTTGACTACACTTAAAGTACTAAATCGCTATAACTGAACTAATTGCCAAGAGGCAACATATGTAATGATATGGTCAATGTAATTAGCCAAAGACTTGTTTTATGTAAGTATAACAGAACACCTGATCCAATAAATAAAAAGATAGATATAAATCAATAAATAAATTAAAAAAAAAATAAAAGAATTTTTAAGAAATAAAAAGTAAAAGCATTGCTTGGGCACAGTAGGATTCAATCGGTCAATGCAACAAAATCTTTAACTGCTAATTAAAGAATAAAGAGTACTGGTTCACGTACATCAATATTTAAGTAGTGTTCGGTGAACACAATGAATAAAGAATCTTCAATAACACTGTTACAATATAGTTAGTTTAAACATTCTTTTACACATAAATTTATTTGTTACTAAAATTTTTGAAGGCCCAATAAACAACAAAAAAGTTATTTTCCTTTTCCCCCAAAAGCTTATGGTAAAAAACGTAATTTTTCGGGTAAGTTTTATCTTATATGTACCCCAAGGTGATAAAAGAAATATCACTTGGGTAAGATTATCTACACTGAGGGCGCTATTCGATCAAAACATATTTTAAGTCTATGGGAGTTTTACAGTGAAGGAAAAATATAAAGATATGGTAATTATATCAATCCATCCTTCTTAGTGAGTTTTTCTTTTTTCTTTTTATATACATATGACCACGAATCAATTCATAATTACTCGAACTATTTCCATGCAGCCGTAAAATATCGTCTGCCTGTATACTGAATGTTCTGATTATTTGATTTTCTTGACAAGTCTTGAAATATAGTTGTTCAATGGTTGTAGCTGTTTGTTTAATGTATTATTCAGATCACAATGACACAAGAGGAAACACGGGACACCGATGCTACCTACAATAAGATGACCTTGAAAGAAATGAAGACTCAGTTCCCCGAACCAACAAAAAACGAAACTATTCAAGTAAGTGTAAATTCTCTGTTATGTTTTTTTGTTGATAATACATGATAGTTGTTGAAGAGTTTTCATAAAGCCAGGTGCGTTGTCTTAACTGTAATTTCCTGTTAAGAATATGATAAATCTAGTCTTTTAACCAAAAATTTCGAATGCGATGATAAAACTAGAACAGTTTGAAAGTATTTTGTTAAAGGTATGTAATTATTCACATTAATTGTGAATACCTCTTTTATATTTTTGTATAGCAAATTAATTTTATTTACCATTTTTTTTAAGTAATCTAAAAGTTAGGAAAATCTATATAAAAGTCTTTTTTAGTCTTTTAACCAAAAGTTTCGAATACGATGATAAAACTAGAACAGTTCAAAAGTATTTTGTTTAAGGTGTGTCATTATTCACATAAATTGTGAATACCTCTTTTATATTTTTGTATAGCATATTAATTTAATTAACCAATTTTGTAAATAATCTAAAAGTTTAGAAAATCTATATAAAATTTTTTTTTTATAATTTGCATTACGTTATGATAACATAATATTTCATTTTATTTACAGTTTAACTGGTTGAAGTTCGCACAACTTGTATTCGGACTTGAAGGTGTTGGAATTAAAATAAATGATACCGAACCAGTTCTTATTAGATCAATGAAATATTATAAAAATATATTGCCTCTCCTGCAGAAGTATTCTAAACGGTAAGCATGTTGTAAACTACTTTTAGGGCATTTCAAGTGATAAGATATATTCGGATGTTTCCGGTATGACATTTTATTGGTCACACTTTTTTGTAAGTTATTCAAGCGTCTTTTATTAAAAGAAATGTACAATGAATTTGTTTTTATGATCACGCATGATACATGTAATTAAGTTTGGAAAAATTATAAATTGTTGATCACATCCCGTTATGCTACTCTGTTTTTATGCTCTTAAAGATCTATCACTCAAATATTTCAGAGAATCTAGCGCAAAAATATGTATTTTTACAATAATATATAATGAAATTGTAATAACTTCCATTTGTAACATGTTAAGAACGCTTTATATCATTTCGATATTTGATACCAATATTAGGGAAGCCCGTAAATAAATGTTTGTTTTCAAACAGGACGATTGCTAATTATCTTGTATGGAGGATAATGCAGAACAGAGCAAGAAATTTGCCTAAGAAATTTCTAGACATTATAGGAGAATACAATAAGGTAACTTTAAAACGAAATGTATATTTTTAACGTTAAAAATGTTCCATAACAACGGAAGTTATGTTTTGGGCATGCGCCAATGGTGTTTTAGATTTTAAATATCAAGGCATATTTTAAGTTTGTTATTGAACGAAACCTCAATAACCAACTGTAAACAATCTATTGCATAATTATTTATAATTATATCGACTTCTTAACAACAATTTAATTCGTCAATTATAGAAATTATAGAATATAATTTGATATAGTTAAGTAAGTAAGTAATTTTTTAACTATAGTGACATGTGTAAACATATTATACAACATATTAAATACACCGGCCCTATGGGCCAATAAGTCACCTTCAATAAACATAAAATATTTACATAAAGTCATAAGTGATAGTATTAACAAACTCATTTGTAAAAATCGAAATAGAAGTATTGTATTTATTTTTTGTTTAATTGATAGTTTACAAGATATGTGATTTATTCTATTAATATATATGAAAATGCGTATATATTTCAGGTTCTTTATGGAATACATACTCGATCAGCAAACTGGAAGAGGTGTATGGGATATACGATTCTTCAACTAGGTGGTCCTGTTGGAAAATTATACGTACAGGAAGCATTTGATGAAGGAGCAAAGAAAACAGTAACCATATTATCAAAATTTGACAACATAACGCCCTCACTGCTTTTATATCTTACTACAACACTGTTTTATCAGCTACTTTTATTAGAAACGATTTAAAATACGAATTCATTGGAATTCATATTTATATACACAAATAGACAAAAACCATCGAATTTGCAAATTTGTATTAATATTGACAACCGTAAACATTTATTGTAAAAGACGATCATTAGTCAATCATTAGTCAATCGTTATTAATTATTCAATTTGTACATTTGTTCTGACTGATTTATATAAAATTGTTTTAGGCCCTAGATATGATTGATGACCTGCGTGGTGCTTTTATTGAAATCCTACTGGAAGAGGAATGGATGGATGACACTACAAGACAAGCGGCTCGAGAAAAGGTGAATCATACGCGTACTTGTTTTTATAATACGAGGACAACAGGTTAAACAATACGTATCCCATAACAGTAATTTTTGGAAAGATTTGAATTAAGATGATTTGAGAATTTTAAGATTGTATTTTTGGCAGGCCTTACCGTCACTTTAATTGTTAAAAACGTAGCATGATTAATAATAGCCATTCCATATTAATCAGTGTTGCTTAACAATTCAAGATTGATTTTATTAGCATACAAAAGAAGCGTCTTATTTAACAATTTTAAGCAATGATAAACACAGACAATCAATCGACCAGTGAGAAAAGTACATATGTAATTTCATCAGACATAAAGATATATACACGACTGCACGGTTTACACGTAGTTGATAATTTTGGTTATAATATATATTTTTGAAATTGTAAATGATGTTAGTACATGAGAAACGTGAAGCGTAAACAAAGAGACTTTTTTTGTAATGATCTAAAAATACACAACAATTTCGAACTAGTCAGAGAACTTTCTATTGGTTAAGCTCCGCCCTCCAGCATATTGTATTATACCATAGAAAGTAGTCTTGCATGGTAATGCAATATATGCAGGAATTTAATTACCTATTGTGTCAGTCAATCTATCGTGGATTACACTCAAAATCTATTTAACTTATTTAAAAAATTGTTTTATGAACATATCTGCGGATGTTTCAAAATTTCAACCCACCATTTTCATATTTAAATGTTGAGTTCTGCATAAACCGGTGCTAGAGGGCGGGTACGGTGGCTGCACCTTCCAGTACCGTCCATGATCAGGCAGAATCAAAGCGAGCCTACAACAGATTCAATTTTACCTTTAGGGATTCTGTTTTTGTTTTCTATTCTATATTGTATAAGCATGTACATTTAGGCTGAAGCAATGGGTGAATGGATTGGCTATGCAGGTGATATACTGAACGACACTGCGCTTAATGACATATATGATGACGTAAGTGAATGTTCTTAATTGTCTTGCAATTCTGTTATGAAAAGATGACTTTAAACTGTGAATAAGAGGATATTTATAACGAAAGGATGCAATAAGAGTATAAAATTGGCCGTAATTAAATGCCAGTAATTGAGAATGGCGTTCTTACGAATCGAGACAAAAAAGTGTTACATTGCCAAACTTATATTACATTTAATACATTAGTCATTAAGAAAGACTGATCGGCAAACAAGTAGAATACATATAAAAGGTTATTTTGGAATAGATAGCAGTACGTCATACGTCATTGAATTAATCCTGGAAATTTCGTTGAGATATTGAATCGGAATTTTAATGTGGAGCACACATTATCACAACTTCAGTGGAAAGCATTTTTAAATAAAATTTAATAAAAAAAAGATTTCTTAAGAAAATGTTAATTAAATCTACTTTAGAAGTTCATTCTCACCTGGTTTTGACTTTTTTCTCACAATTTTAGGTCAAGGTGAACCGTGATGAGTATTTCCAGAATGTGCTCGGAAATTTACAAAGATGGGGCATAGGCGGTATATCTGGTTTAAGGACCGTTTATGATAAATCTGGGTAAAATCTTATTACTCAATTAATACTTAATTCTCATTTGAATAATTAATTGCTTATAATTGTTTAAGCATTTAATATTTTGCATGTCGTTGCCAAGCATGACCTGCCGGAATCAAATCTAGCTTACAAAATATTCATTATTGACGTTAATGAGACCCTAAATTTTCAAAATGCCATACATTGAAAGTGTTTTATTAATCACTTTTGGATCAAATCCTGATGTACCTGGTGTCCTGCGAGCGAGCAATGTCGTGACGACAGCAAAACTTCAAATTCTTTATCCTTGGACGGAGAAGCAAACACCTTGACCACGAAGCAACCTTTACAATGTTTAGAAATACCAAATCACTCCAAATGTGCCTTTCATTATGGGAATATTTATCATAATTTGCATTATGTTGTATTTCATAGTGCATTGCAGTTTATTACAATTGACTTTTATCGCCTGTCCCTAAATGTTTATCTTTTTTTACTTAACAGTTGTATGGGTGAAATCATTGCTATTTCAAAAATCGACCTTTAAATGCATATGAGCCGTTCCATGACATAACAACATAGTGCGTTTGCGACCAGCATGGATTCAGAACAGCATGCGCATCTGAGCAGTCTGATCACGATCCAAACTGTTCGCTTACAAACCCTATTACAAGTAGAGAAAGTGATAGCGAACATCATGGATCCTGATCAGACTGCGCGGATTCATGCTCGCAAATGCACTATGCTGGTTTTGTCATAGCGTGGCTCATATACTGGTCTAACAAGATTACCTCAACTTGTTATGTATTTTCTTCCATTGATTTTACAGATGGTCAGATCCCCCGACAACAGTTAATGCACAGTACAGTTTTCTTCTTAATAATATACGTAAGATGTTTATATCACTTTTTTTCAAACTATGAAAATGAAGTCTCCAATTTTATCGTTTTAAGAAATTATTTTACAGTAAAAATGATTAATATGTAAAAAACGTCCTTGTATCAAACTGTTTCTTATCCTTATAACCCCTGTTAAATTTTTCTATCCAAAGGGGCAAACTTTAAAAACACAGGCCACGTATGTGCGGGTACTGTTCAACTTTTCACAGCGTATATTTTTGTCCGGAAAGATGGCACAAATCGCAACTGATGACATTTTCCTTAATCAGACAATTAGATATTTAAAACTAAAAAACATTTGTTTGAATTCACATTTGTAAAATCAAGCAATATAATTAAAGAACTGTACATTTAATACTTTATACTCACATAGGTTAAACATTATTTCTGTTTAATTCCCTTGGTATTTTCAACCAATTCGTAAAAGAAGAAATTAAGTTTTATACTTAAACAGTACAAAATATGCATTACTTTCTGTGAAAATATAAAATATCGGTTTTTTAAAATAAAAATGATTACTAACTAAAATAATAATTGAAGTATAATCACAAGTCATGATTTTATTATCGAACTTGGTAACTTATTTTGTTAAAATTGAATACGTTAAACCTGTGGGACATAAGATTAATTACAATTCATTATCTGTGAAATTTTGATATTAATAATAATAATATCAAGGTAATACATGTACTTACGATATCAATTTTATGATTACCTGGAAAAATTCAGATACTTGCGACTTTAATAAAAAGCCGATTGTAAAATATATAATATATAGACAGTCATGTTTTCTATTCTACATGTAAACTTATTAATGTTTAACAATTAATTACTGTACTTGAGAATACAATTCGTAAAAATAACGGAGTTAAATTTTTGTTCCAAAGAATAATTCGAAATCAAATACCTGTTTGAATTGTGTAATTGACACATTATAAACTATTTTTTGATCTCGTATAAAGAATTCAGTAGACATTATGGCTATACGTAATCTTAATATTATTAACTGAATAATTTCAGCATTAGATCAATAGATTAAATTTCTGTCATTGTATTCTTTTGTTGTAGTTAAATTGCACGATAATTTTTATATCAAACAAAGAATCGGACAATTTGGCTAACGCAGTATCCACAAATGCGTTTATTTTATCTATTACATTTGTATCTTTAAATTTATGCGAAATATTACTTTACAAAGTAATTCAGAAATTCAGCTGTTTTGTTCATTTTCTTCCTTCTTTGCAATATGAAATTAATGACGTCTTTGTATGCTTCTCAACTCGGGGGCGGGGTGATCATGGGTTTCGAACCCTACTTGGGTCACGATCATGTTCCTTAGATGCGATGAATATCTGTTAATTTTGGAAACGAATTGACCAGTGTTTCAACTAAGCTGTAGACCTTCCTTTATGGAACAGTTCACTTTAACATTCGATAGGAAATTAATTTTCATGGTATGTTATTGTAGGAAGAAAGTTTGACAAAGACGGTAATTTACGAGACTGGTGGGGAGAAGACATTGTTGCTAGATTTAAAAAAGAGACACAGTGTATAGTTGATCAGTATGGAGACTTCACGATAGCTGGAACACATGTAAGTAACAGTTTATAAATGTGTACGCAAGACCGGTGTTGACATTTCATCTTCTTGGATTCTCGGGTTCATCTTCACAAATTCACAATATCAACTTCATGAATTCACGTTTTAAATTTGTGAACTCGTGAATGCATCGAGAATTCATAAAAGATTCATGAATTCACGATTGCATTCGCGAGTTCACAAAGATGAAACTGGGAATTCATTTTGTTGTTTAAAATGTCAACACCGAACTTTCCTAAATGTACGTTTTGTTTTAATTCTACCTTGAAAGCATGCTTGCTGTGTCGAATGTATATTATAGTAGGTTTTTACGTTATAGAGCAAGGTGTTATAGAGCAAAATGTCGTGTATGACTGTATTGATCATAGTTTCTTGTAAATTACTCATGAAACCGTATTTATGTCTAGGTTATTATTCTTTAAAAAAAAAATTATTAAATTGAATTGGTCAAATCAATCAATTTAATTTAGATAATGACTACTAATAAACATCTATCAATCAAGTTTTAGCAATTATTTTTGAGTTTTTTTAACTATTTGAAAGACCCTGTTATAACAAATGATTTCCCAATGAAAGTATAGTGACTTTTTACTATGATAATAACCTAGATAATGTATATTTGTTAAAGTTAAAATATAATATTCCAGTATGGCACTGATGGACGGAAAAATTAAAAAAAAAGAAAACTCACACCTGAAATATGATCAAAATATACTTAACAGATAGCCCCATCCCCCCTTAACGAAAAACAAAAACAAAAAGGCATCGATGACAATGATACTTGTATCAAGAATATTGACTAATAAATTAGACATCAGATGCTTTCACTGTTTAGTTTTTAAATAATTGCTAGAGTTTGAGCCATTTTACTAAAAAGTTCCATTCGAATTACAAAGTTACATGTTTTCTAAATGTTTTGCTATTTGTTATTTTTCTTCAGATAAATGGAAAGAACACACTTGGAGAAAATATCGCTGACAATGGCGGACTAAAACAAGCGTTCAGGGTAAATACTGATGACATGCAATTTTATTTATCTATATCTTTCAAGCGTTTGAGGTAGATTTGCATCTGACTATAGCCCTGATGTTCTTATGTCTTACATATCGGCTAGAAAACATATGCGTTATTTAGGAGATAATTTTAATCAGATTGTTTACATGCAGTGCCTTTATGTAGATTTATTTGACTCCTAATGGAAGTCAAATAACAGTTATCATCGGCATAAATACTTTTTTTCAAAGTAAAATGTTGAGTAAATCCATTGGTGTAATGATTTGGAAACGGGAAGGTTATTTGAAAGCACCGAGAACAAGAACTAAATATCGGTTTGATTGCGTTCATGAGAGATAATTACAAGTGCAAGCACCGGTTTAACTTGTTTTCGATATTTTACACTCTACATACTGGAATCAGCCATTTTATTACAAAGTAAACGCCAATATAATTTAATTTATAGAAACTTACTAGTCAACTTAAGTATTGAAGTCTTGTTCGGACTGATCCTGGCGGGTACTCATGTATATTTGGCAGTCCAGACAAGTAAAGCCATCATTGTAAAGTGGACAATTTCAGGTGTTATATTATGTTTTACGTATATAGCATTTGTCGATATATTTTTGTCAACTAAAGACAACATTTACTTCGAAGAGAATTCAAACGACCCAATTTTCTTACTTGTATTCTATTCCAGCACATTACATAAGAAACATTTTACATATAAATAATTCATTCTATTGTTCAGGCTTATAGACATTGGGTTGAGTCACAGGGGAAAGAAGAGCCACTTTTACCTGGAATGAATTATACGCATAACCAACTTTTCTTCATTAGCTTCGCACAGGTATGTACAGTACACAAATTATCTAAAGTGAAGTCTAGAACACATTTTTTCAAATATTATCTGTAGCCATAATAATAAAATATTTGATGGCAAACAATAAAATATTTGATGTTGATAACACATTGAATTCAAAGTTTCATTAAGTCAAAATAAAAAGGTAAATATAAACTGTATCATTTCTATTGTCCTGCCTTTGAAGAACTCTGAGGTTGATCAATTTTTACACAGGATCAGTATAAGACGGTAAAACACAATATAAAAAAGGATCACTTATGTAAATTCGGGACCTTTACAGTAAATTCAGGGCCACTACGATAAAACCGGGGCTACTACGGTAAAACCGGGACCGAAACGAAAATATATTACTTTGATTGATTCAGAAGCATGTGAAACGATTTTGCATTTAAAATCTAGTGTTTGAAACAATTAAGCATTTTCTCTTAAAAGAACTTAAAAAAAGTACGGTGCGGATATGCCAGCTGATCTTGGTCAGCACTGGTCACAAGTATAGAATAAGTTACCACCAGCAATCTGAATGAACCATTATATATATTTAGCAATAAAAACTTAACAACATAAGAGCAAAGCTTTTAGCAACATATAGTTTACAATATTTATTACTTACTATGTTTAGTTGCAGGTATTCATGTTTAGCAGCATGAACATAAACTATCTATTTTTAGCAAGATATTTTTAAGAATCTTTAATGTTATTAACATATATTAAGATTATATAATTTCAACAAAATGATATGGTGTTCACTTCTCAGGTATGGTGTGACAAGGAGACGGATAAGTCATTTCTAAGTGGTATAAATACAGACCCGCACAGTCCTGCCAAATTCAGGTAATTTTCTACCTAAAATCAAATATTTTTACGAAGACAAATATTCGCGAACTTACCATTATTTCAGCGTTAACGTTTACAAATTCCTACCCTCAAGTACGTCAAATTTATATGGAAAACAAATTAGCAAAAATTTGGTTTAATTATATCAATAGAAAATTTAACATGTGTAAAATATTTACACAATACATTTAAGTACTGATCAAGACCAGGTTGTCGTGTTTCTCGTCTATATCGTGCAATAACCGTTGTTGGAAGGGTTCAGTGTAAAACCACTCGAGTATCGGCTTTACAAACATAAACTCATCTTTTATAAAATAACTTCAGAATGTGTTCCTCCATATCTTTCTGAAAGAAAAACAACAACTCAATTTTAGATTTCCATAGGCCAGCACCAATTTTTAGAACAATTCAATTTTTCACTTTAAAAAACACAGGTCTATAACGATATTCCTTTCTCATTTAGAAAAGTATCTTTTCCCAGACATTCCAAAGCTTTTGAGAAAAAACTACTCTATGGTAAAATATATCCCACATTTTGCACACATATCAAAGACTCATCTCAAATTCTTTAGCATTTTTTTGTCTTCAAGTGTCAGATCCTCATCGTTTTTTTAAGGAAAATGAAACTGCGAGACACTTCAATTTCGACTGTTCTAGTACCTCAATTGGATAACCATATACTTATATACACTATCAAGTTTCAACCTTTTAGCACATTGCCATCCTTTCCGCACGAGCAATGAAAAAGTAGTCCATATGGTTCACAGAAAATGTTGAAAATGGAACTGCTCATGCTAACATAGAATTAATAATAAGTGTGCGATTTAAAACAGGCTTGAAATTAATTCGATTCCTTGTCTATGAATTCAACAGCTTTTTATATCTAGACTGATAAAGTGACATTTATGAAGTACATAACTTACTTACTACATACGAAGTTCTTAAAATTTGGTCAAGAATAAGACATCAATTTTTAATATCAAATTGAAAACACAAATGTTTTTATCCGTTTTTATTGTACAATTTAAAACAAAGTTTCTTGGCAGGTAGATAAAGTTAGAAGAGACGATACATGCATTGCGTATAGATATCTTAAAAATATTTATTATTTTAATCATATATATTTCAGAGTTTGGGGAACACTTCAGAATTCTGAAGACTTTGCAAACACCTTCCAGTGTAAACGTGGGTCGTTTATGAACCCCGAGAAAAAGTGCTCAGTATGGAAAAAGTGATGTTCAAGGTTCCAGTATTAAGAAAACTGACATTTTCTCAAGTCAGACATAAAGATTGTGATTCGCGCCATAATTATACATTGTTTAGAATAAGACTCTTTTTGGAATTGATTTGTATATCTACATTGGCAAAATAAGTACATGTTGTTAAACTCGTTTGAGACAAATGTCAGTGTAGACAAGACATTTCATTAGATTCATTAAATATTTTAACCAGAGTAGCTCTTAAACAATTAAAAAAATATCGCTTCCCTTAGCATATGTCTATAAATGATTTAAACCTAATTTTCTTTGTAACATATTCTATGTTTATGGTGACAAGATTCTTTACAAGATGTTGGTGTTAGTTAAGTGTGTATTGATTGACAGATCACTTTTAATTGTTTCTTTTAAACTGTCAAGTGTATCAAAATCAACGGAATGTCCTCTATAGGAATTTTTTTACAGCTACATGAATAATCACTACCTGATTTTATTTGGTTCCCTGTCTCTCAGACAATCAAAATGTCGAGTTGTTTAAACTTGTCAATTATTATACTGATTCTACAGAAAAGATTTATCTAATGACTGATGACTACAGTGCTTAGTTTAAATTTTATCTTTATATTTCCAATAATACTTCATATATATGGTTGTGTCTATTTTTCCCAGAATACTTTCATAACTATTAAGCATATATTATGTGAATTTAATTTAATGTATTTATTTTTATCTAGTAATTTACTAAATACATGTACAACCATCAGATGCATAAGAACCTGTTAATTTTAGATCATGACAATCAAAATCTATTACTACTGTATTGTTATTTACTATGTAGAACTTTCTGAGTGACCATTTGGATGAAATAACTTAAACGAACGGCAGTTTGTCTCCTTTATACAAAGAGATAAATTAAAGTCAGAATTCAGTGTGCTTATTTTATATTCATTGCAAAAAATGACAGAGTTCAAGCTCCTATATCTTAAATTTGGACGTTAGATCTAGAATTACTGCTATGCATGGAAACCAACTCATTTTGAGATAACACATGTAATTCACAAATGTTGTTTGTATTAAAAAAGGTTAATAAAACACAGTGGATTATCTTCTAAATGCACATTCTCTATTATAAGCATTTTAAGAATCATGAATTGTTTTTGAAAGTTTCACCATCTCACGCCGTTTCTTGTTAATTAATTAAAGGAACTCTACTGACGTTCATGACCCTAAAACATAAAATTTAAATTTTTACAGGTACATAGAGTAGCCTGGGCACTTAAAACAGAAAAGTATACGAGGAAAAATAATATGAAATAAACTCAGAAATGAATTGAAAATCATATTTATGTGCAATTCTTAGCCCGATTTGAGAGAACGGTATTGCAACGCTTTTCAATTTTGTATCATTTTTTCACAACATAATTATTCTGGAAAAAAACGGAATGAGCGAATTATCTGAAATTTTGCACTGCACACGAGTTATTGGTCTAGACCTACATCAAACGGAACATTATCTTAAAATATTATTCCTAGTACTATAATTATATCAAAACAATCAGTGGCGTCCCTTTAAGTTTACATAGAATATTAAATATTTCACGGTTAATAGTAGATACATCTTATTCTTTATTATTTTCTAATATGAGATCTGGTATGTTAAAGAATAATTTGAGGGCTCAAACAATATTGTGTTTTTGGAAGTTAAGATTTATGCATTCTCAAGCATTTACTTTGAAATGATTTTATTTGCTTTTGTGATATCATTTATATTAAAATAAACATCCAAACTACATGTATTGATGTACATAAAGAATAAATACTTTTTGTATGAAATTTGTTCTTATTGCTTTGCTTCGCCAAAGTCCTAAACACTAAACACAGATCAACTTGGGAACAGAAAGATATGGAATACATTAAAACAACTTACAAAAAAAATGATTTTATGTGCGATTATTTGCTGGATTTTGAGTTTAAAGCATTTAAAAACTTTTCATTAATTGGCCCTTTTTAAACAACAAAAATCATGATTCTTGAATAACGGTATCAAGTTTATTGTAATGTAATTCTAGGCCATCGACCTAAATACAAAAATATGTGCCAGCTAATTATCTGAAATTTTGCATACCAGACCTGTATCGAATAGCACACGAACCTCGAAAAACATATTTCCAGTCCCGTTATGGCAAACAACAACAATAATAATAATAATGATAAACATAAAAAAGTCCCTTTAAAATTTGATTTTGTTATCTACTATAAATGAGAGGTTTAGTAAATTTCTTTACATAGTCCAAATTATTATTTTTACCATAATAATTTCAGATATGTATGCATATCATGAACAATATCTTAATAAAAGCAATAACTCTATCACATCATATCTAGGACAATGTTGAATATATATAATGTAAATAAATTGTCATTTAATGTGATTGTATAATACTGTTTTTGTCAGGTAACGCTGTCGGTATATCAATGGAGCAGTATTATTAGAGACACACAGGTCCGTACATATGCATTAAAGTTATTTTTTTTCTTTTTCTTTAAAAAGTTTGGAACATACTGTAAGAAGGCAAATAGACCTAGTATTTCTGTCACCCGGCAAATACTGTTTTTATGAGTAGTACTAGTGAAAAGTGTGGTGTATGTATATCACTATGGGGTAGATTATAATATCGGTATGTGATATTTTTGAGTAAATGACCAGTGAAGTTGACCATTAGACAAGTGAAATGTATAGTAAAGGTAAGGTATTAAAAACATTCTGAAAGGTGAGTAAACTCGAGAGCTATGAAAAAACAAAATGAAATTAGAAAATCGCTGTTTGTGTTCATTGAATCTGCCCTTTGAAAGATAATGGAAATCACGGTATCATATCCCTCCCCCCCCCCCCCCCCCCCCCCCCCCCCCCCCCCCCCCCCCCCCCCCGCAAAAAAAAAATAACAAAAAAAAAAAAAAAATAAATAAATAAAATAAAACAACAACAAAACAAAACACCGGTTTAAGTACTAAAAATACCTAGTAATCAATGGTCTTGAATAAATATACAAATAATTTATAAAATATTTTAATAGTCAAATGATAAGATTATATTTTTTCCATAATCTGATATGGCTTATTCTCAAAAGAGATGTAACACAGAATTTCTTTGTTATTTGTCCAACGACATTGACCTGGCACTCATGCTTTTGACCCTGTAGTCGGTATATTCCGTAAACTTTACGATCTACTTGTGAATCGATATGAATGTGAATATCCAATTGTTAAAATGATGTAAATTAAAATCCTTATTAGTGCAGTTGGTAATGTGGTTTCACTTGCTGATTTATTTTTTCTATTACCCCGAACAACATTCGTATTCGTAAACATTGGTCAGCAAAACAAAGCTTTCTAAACTTTAGAACCGCCTGTACAGCTTGATGATTAATGAGGAATGTGATCCAGACATCAAACACGCATCCAATTTTCTACTTCTTTGAAGTAAAATGCGACCATGTGAAATGCAATGGAATTATGTAACAAAACAAAGAGTATACTATAAAACCTCGGTAATAAGCACATACGATTATTTATAAATGAGTGGAGACAGTATGCGCTTATTCCTTGAAATGTGCATATAGGTAAACCTAGGAGTATGGGGATAACAGCTTATAGAGATAGGCCATATATGCGCTTATTTAAGATATACTCTTATAAAATAAATGACTGCGTATGTGCCTATGGTTAGAAAACGGAAAAACGAACAAGAACTAACGTCATTAATATGTATAACCTTGATTGAATAGTTTTCCTCTGCATAAACGAGCTAAGATTTAAATGCTACACAACTGGATACTTTATTTACAAACATTTTGGAAAAAAGTTTCTTTTTCGCGCGTCTATGACTTTCTTTTGCTTTGGGTTTTATTCATGTTTGTGACACAATAAACATATGCTGTCCACAATGTTTGTCATACTCAATAATTCTACAGAATAATAATTTAATGCTTAAACAAAAGAAAAATAACAGTATGCGTTTAAGATCTCAGAATCTATTTGCGTCTGTTTTGGGCTCACACTGAATATGGCTCAGAGTATAATTGTTTGATACGATTTGATCAAAATGTAGCCCATACAAGTTAGAAATAAAAAGATAATTTGTTCAAATTTGAAGTCGGAAAATAAATAATTCGTTGTCAGTATGCACGTGATTCTACGAGCAAGTTAACCTACAGAATGTGGGGAATCTGCATTGGTAAAACTAAATCGCTTTTACGTCACACCGACACAGTATAGTTAGTATAATCTTGATTATGCTTTATAAGCAAACTAATTTTTTATGGTATTGGCAGTGTGCATATATCAATTACATTTACATGATAAGAATACAAACAAAAACACCCGGCCCATTGGACTTATCAGTCAACTTACAGAAGTCACTTAACATTAAAACATGCGCATATTTCCGAGGTTTTACAGTATGTAACGAGAACATAACTATGTATTTCATGTTTCGTTTGTTACGTCTGTTTTCTAATATTACTTTTAGTATAATATTTTATTCTTCACACTTAACAATGTAAGCAGCATGATAGTGACGATGATGAACTAATATCGTGGTATTTCTTAAAGTCAATTTATATTTAAGATGGAGTTGCACTTATTTCTGTTTCTTTGTAAGTATATGCTTTTTCATTTCTAGTTGACAGATAATACATTTTTCTATTATCATTATATGTCTACTTACTTTGATGTTCAGTCAATTATGTAGTACGTTTTAAGTATGTTTTATTTGAGTGTAGGCTTTAAATATCTTACTTCTTCGAATATAATAAAGCCAGGCTCATTTGCTCAACCAGTCTCATGTTATAAATTTGTAAATCATTACTAATGAACACTAACCAAATAAGTGTTTGAAACTATTTTTTAACATTCGAATTACCAGACGAATATGTAAATTAAAGCATTAATTGTATTAGAAATCATCTGAAATACTGACGTCATTTGGCCAAGAAAAGAATATCAAACACTAATATTCTCAAAAATGTGTCACATTTTATATCCCTTTTTGTTTAATACCTTATAAAATGTAATTCATAAACCTGCAATTGAATCATTAAAATGTTACAATAGAAAACAATATCTAGATCTGATCAGAGTTCTGTCAAAATAGTACAAAAATCGTCATTGTGAAAGGAGGAATTAATTTTACTTTGTTAAATAAAACACTGAGTCGACTCTACTGGACTCGTACCCAACTGCAAAACATATATTTGACATGGTGCAATAGGTTTTACACTTGTGTATTTGTCCAATAGAAACTTTAATAAGAATATATAATAAACTCATAATATCACGCATTATCACAATCATTATACCTTACATTGTTTTCAGCCTAAACACTGAGTAGTTATCTTGATATCTCAAAACATTTATTATGTAAATTTCCAAAAATTAGAAGCTGAACATATCCATCTAAGACATTCAACAGTTATAGTCGCTTATCCTGTAAGCAAAGTTAATGTAATTATGATGATAACACGGGATATATTTGCAACAAGAACAAAGCATTGATTTCATTAGCTTGAGTTTAGCGGAACAGAATCACTAAAGAAAGTCCAACACAGCAGAACTCAGAACTGCGACGCGGTTTGATTGAACCTGTTCATGGACGTTAGTGTAAAATGCAAGCTACATCCTAGCAATAGCGCCAGCCTAAGCAGAATTCATCATTTTACATGTACTGATAAAATTTTAAATTTTGATTCATCTACTAAAAGGTTCATTCGGCAGTTATCATGAAACCTTCGTTGTGACTCTTCTGTTCCATTCGTGATAAGCGGTATATGGTTACCATGAAAGATGCGTGTCTCCTTAAAACAGAAAATAATAGGTGAAACTAAATAGATTGGAATTTTGAAAGGGAACCAGATGTTATGAAATCTGCATAAGAAAAGCAAGCAACATAATTATCCTAAGGGTGATGAAATATTATTCAAGTGAGGAATACTAGGGAAGAATGGAAAGAACTAAAAGTACCAAAAACATGCTTTCACAACAAAAATGCTGTGCTTAACGATCTTGAATGATCGAAAATATAACACACTTGATTAAAGTAAGTTTAACGTATTTCAAAAACGATGCACATTTCAGTATTTATAAGATGAAATTTCTACCAACATTCTGACGGGTTTAATCTACAGAAGCAGATATCAATTTACATTGCACCTGTGAAATGTAAGCAATTAGGCCTTAACCTGCTATCACTTCTGCTTTTCAAAATATTAATATATTTGATGTATGGTTAAAGTCTCCGAAAAATTACTCATTGGTCATACACATTAGCCATCTTTTGCTTCTTTTACGTTTTGGCTATCATATTAGTTAAAGTAAGCTATGTTGTATTTAATTTATACTTTGATAACATATCAAGGAAATATGATTTCATGTGAAGACATTTTATAAGCACCAGATCATTCTAAAAAAAAGTAATTTGTCTCTTTATCCCTGCTATCGGAACTCCCCGGGCTTTATCCCCGTGCTTAAAACCGCGAACATTTACGACAAGACCTGACTTTTCTTTTGCTTCCATGGAGCGAATGATTATCATTTCGGCACTCAAAGAGTCCCTTACACTTCGCTGGGTTTTAGTAATTTCAGTGCTTTGATTTCAAACAAGGGTATATACCCAGACACACTGAAACACAAATAATTTAGCATGTTACATGAAACAATAAATGACGACATTGACGACCTTGAAGAACCTATCTAAATATCAAATATATTCTAGAATTTAGAGGACGAATCCGACTTACATTACTCATTTTTACTTTATTAAAGCAAAGTAATGTACA